TGCTCCTGGTAGTTTTGTTACGAAAGAAACACTGATTTTGCAACTCAATTGGGGATGGATGTTTTCTTTTTTTTATTTGGATGGATTTTACGATAGTTTTGTCCCACAAAACTTGTTTTTATAATCTTTTTACTACTTTAGATATAATATGTGCAAACAAACAATAGAAGTTTAAAATGAATAGTCTCAGCACGCACAACTTCTTGGAGGTCTTTGCGTGCTTCGAATATATTTTGATGTATTTTGCTTAGAACCACTTTAAAACTGTTCTGCATGTCTACCGTGCATCAATTAAATAGTTGACAGTCAAGTTTCAATTATGCGACAAAATATTGTAGGTATAAAAAAGATTGGAATATTAATAAAGCTATTACTTCGCCCGCGGCTCTTCTCCACCCACCCTTTTAACCCTCCTTGCCTTGCGGCGACTGATAAAGTAGAAATTGAATTTTATTTAAATAAATTTACGCCAACTGATGAAATGATTTTAGTAATTATTTTACAGACTGCAAACAGACTTCGGTAATACCTTTTTTCATTTATTAAGTCCTTGTATATTCTTCAATATTACTAACAATGTACGAAAATGCTCTAGTGTGATTTGATTATAATAATTATTATAGTCCGCCACCGCAAATCCAATTAGTGTGCAGAGCACGCTTCGTGAAAGCAAATTAGTGGCTACCTCGTACCTCTCTGCTCTATAGAAATATGTTTTAATAACCAAACTTTGTTAACAGTGTCTACTTGTTAGTTATGTTGGCCTAGTTGTCGGGCGCGACTTCGCTTACGTAAAGCGATAATGTTCATTTGTTTTATATATAAATAAATATATATAATAGTTAAAAACTATACGAATTTTTAAAGTATAATATATAAAGATTTATTATCTTTTGAAGAATTAAAATACAATAAATAAAGCCATAAAAAGTATACTTTCGTACCTATTCAGTCTCAGTGCAGGTAAAGAACAATGACTGAGCGTAGTTTTAATCTTATACAATCCGCTTACGTTTATTGTGAACCCATTGAACTCGACGTAAGCCATAAACAGACTTATTAATACCATAAAAGTTTTTCTATATAAAGCCATTTTTGAATTGCGTTTTATATATTTTTTGTAATTTTAATAGAAGATTAAATTTCGTAGTGGAGCACCTACTGTAGAACTTAACGGAAAGTCTACTGAAATAGTAGTCTAATCCTCTCTAGCTTTATATTTATGTACTTGTCTTCTTTCTCCTGTTTTTAGCAAAAAAGCTAGTTCTAGTAGGTATTGTTAACGGATAATAACAACTATTAAATACGTAAACTCTAAAAAATTTAAGTATCAGATAATATTCCGTTGAAGAAATAATTGTAAATTATGTTGAATGAATTAATATTTATAAGACAAAAACGCATTAAGATATTGTACTCAATACAGCGTACGGTAAAGCCATAAAAGGTGTGTTAATTGATAGTCGTGTCGTCAGTCGTCACGCTTTCCCCACAGTCACGCGTGAGTGTGCCATGACCTGACTTCACACCATTCAATGACAGATTTCATGTTCACAGAATCTCGGAAGTCATTTCTAATTCACTAATTATAGTATAAAGAGCAGTGTTGGCCTAGTGGCTTCAGGGTGCGACACTCATTCCTGCGGTCGTTCGATCCTCGGTTGTGCACCAATGACCGGTGTAGAAAAGCATCGTGAGGAAACCGGCTTTGCCTTAGACTCAATAAGTCGACGGCGTCTGTCAGGCACAGGAAGCTGATCACCTACTAGCCTATTAAGGATATGATCACGTTGAAAGATACAGAAATCTGAGGCTCAGACCTAAAAAGGTTGTAGCGCCACTGATTTATTGATTTTTAATGATGATATTATTTCTATTTCTAGATATTCATAGATAATATATATTTGCCAAATCTCATTAAACAATTGTCATTTCACACATTGTATGCTAGAATTCGAGCAAAGACCTTCCCAATATTCCGTACTATTTCTCATGAACGAAACTAAATTACATCACAAACGCCGTAACGAATGACGTCTCCGTATATTGCTAGGAGCAATTTGAGAAGCGCTTAAACGTCTGATCGCTCCCCACGGGCAATCCCGAGCCATTAATCCACCCCCTGTCCACCCTGGATTCACCCCTGGTCTTCTAGGGTTGGCAGTGGTTGAAGTTTAACCAAAATTATTTTATATTTTATGCATTTACGAACTTTTATATCTAAAAGTTACGAACTGGTTCTATAAGTAACCCTTTTTGGCTTAAAGTGGAAAGTTAAAATAAGTTACAAGGTTCGTTAACTAATCCCGTAATTAATGTTATTATTTGATTACTAAGGTTAAATGATTACATGGCATATCAAAGCAGACGTCTAGACATCGATGTTTGCGAATATGTACTTTTAAAAAATAATGCACCAAGGATTTTATGTGTACCTAGTAATTTCTCGTCAGTTGGTATAAATTTTTTTACATTGCTTTCTTTCTTAAATTTATTATTAATTGAGAGAATTAACCTAAAATTGACTTATTTTTTATAATCTTTAAAAGGAAAACTGAAAGCCCTACGCCGAAGCTTTGCGAACCCATTTTTCCTCAATGCTATGACCTCTTTTTTGTGAAACCTTTTCTGTCTGATAAATGAAGTGAGAAATTACAACGATTTCCAAAAAGCATAGTGTTTTCTAACATTCATTGCTAACGTCACGAAAGTACCTAAATATAAGATTATCTGATAATCCCTGTTTTCATTAACCACATAGATAGGCCGCAGTAAAGAATATTTTTTAAGAAAAGCAATGATTGTAATTTTTAAGCTCACATATCGTTTACAATCGTTATAATCATCACAATAAATATATGTACAAATGTCCTTATAATTAATCCATCAAACACAATTTATTGCGTAACGTATAAAGGGAAACGCCCTACAAAATCTCAGTTCGTGCTAATAACAAATACACCTACGTTATATTGCTTATTCCCTGGTAATAAATCTATCGCGCCACGTCATCCCTATTTGCCCGCGAGGGATCCCCCTCTGGACGCAAATTGCCGTTCGACGCGAGGCACAGTGACAAATAGCTTTAAATTGAACCATAAAACTGGTGAATGTCACAAATTCTCCTTGTAGACGAGTTCTTTACGAAACTCAGCATATTCATACTGTCTTGTACATGTAATCCAAAGCTTTAATTAATAACCATCTGAACATAAATTATTGTAATACCTCTATAAATCTTTTATTATTCTCTTATTCACCAATTATATTTACTGTCCCAATTTATCCTTGTTCTTTACCATTCCACGTGCCAACATTCGCTCGCTGACACGGTATTAATTATCACTCACTGACGCGGCCTGGCTTCGCTCCAGACTTTGATTAGCGGCGGTTATATGTCGGCTAGTGTTTGATGATTAGCGAACTGACATGATAAAGTTAAATTAAGAAAGATAATGTAAATAAGGTTCAAACGGCAATCGGGAACGAGTTTAACTTGAAAACTTAGAAACAGGTGTTTGTAATTAATCAGTGGAAGAAATAAATAACGTAATACGGTAGAGAATATAAAATTAATGACCTCATGATAATAAATTAATTGATGTCAACCGGTGGTTTAAACATGCTAATAAATTTATATATCGTTATCAATGTCTTAATATACAAAACTGCGAAATCTATTTTAGTTAGAGAATAGCCTGGCCTGAAAAACAGAAGAATAGCTTGATGATAGATATGATAGTGCGGTGTTGGACTAGTGGCTTCAGCGTGCGACTCTCATCCCTGAAGGTGTAGGTTCAATTCCCGGTTGTACACCAATGGACTTTCTATGTCCGCATTTAATTTCTCTCGAACGGTGAAAAAAACATCGTAAGGAAACCGGCTTGCCTGTTAGATTGACAAACGATCATGAAACAGATACAGAATCTGAGCCCTCAAAAAGGGTTGCAGCACCACTGATTCATTTTTTTTATTTAACAAAATATATAATACTTTACTAATTTCACGTACTTAGACCATAGCGTCTAATAAATAAATCGTGCAACTAGTTGGTTTGATTATTTAAATTGTTAAACATGCGGGTACCTATCAACATTGGATTTGTGATTTACGTCTAGAAATATATATCGGTGCTTTTTCTACTAATAATGGGTGTGCCAGAATGAAAGTAGAATAATGCCGTAGAAATGAAAGCGTTGAGAAGTATGTGTGCGGGATTGGATAAGTAATAGTTAGAGCAGTGTGGTTTTAAAGAGGATTTGAATGGTTGAGAAATGAGAAACAAAACAAAGAATACATTTCATTTAAGTTTAATTTTGCAATAGGTACTTGTGGAAAAAAAAACAAAAACAAATAGGTAGATAAAAACAATCCTTGATGCGGATTATAAATCATGCTAAAATTTCAGCTCGGTCGGCGCAGAACTTCTTGAGTTTTTGAAGCGTACACAAATAAACATAATAATATACATGTGCAAAACGCCTGCGACGTTTTTCAGTTTTCCCAAACATGTATTGTCGATATTAATTTGCAGGCGTTAACGGAAATTAATGTACAAGTTACTTATTCGTACTACTTATTAGTACATCGGTACTCGATATAATAGCAGAAGTAATATTGACTTCAATATTAATGCCCGTGTTGCAATAGATATATCAAGAAACATTTTCCGCGTGAACACAATCAAATATCGGCCTAAGTTTATGTACCTACCCCGATCCTAAGACTGCAACCTCACCGCTACGATGTTGAGAAACAAGTGCAGAGTACCAGCGAAATTGTTGAAAAAGATCAGTTCCCAATAATTCCCCATAATCTTCACGAACAATGTTTGCTGCTATAAGATTTAAAAACTGTGTATATGCGTCCATATTGCCCATCTAATCTTTCTAAATTCTTCTAGATGTAGCGTAATAGGAGACAAATATGGACAATATTTCTTGAATGTAATAAAAATCTCTCAATTACCACAGAAACATATTAATTAACTAAAATTAATTATGCAAGTTCCGATCGGCTCTAATTGGCGTCTACGTCGAAAGACGCGTTCCGCCCATGCCGATTATAACCATGACTTCGGCACCGCCCATTCAAAGCAAGTTGAGTCTTATCAGTACGTGATAGGGACTATAATATGCGCACAAGTATCGTGGTGTAGTGGGCAAGCCCCGCCCATCGGCCAATGAGACTCCGCCGCGCAATGCACACTTTGTTAACACGTCCCAAATGCTTTTTTTGAAGTTTTTTGTTAAGTTATGATGTCTTGGTGTTTTTATTTGGTTTTATTATTTTATTCACAGATTTGGTGATGTGTGCTTTGTGGTTGTTAAAGTTCTATGATTTACACTGATATCTATGATGAATATCATTGATGATATATCTATGATCAAATACCTTGATAGGATAGTTGGTAACCCAGTCAACACAAAGAGGGCAGGCCTGTGTTCCATTCTCAGTTCAACCGTGTAGGCAAATCACTAGAAAATTGATCACTCACGTCATATACCATAAAAAAAAGAGTTAAAAAAGAGAGAGTTCTCTCTGTTTACGATTTTAATGGTTACAGATAACTATTAATGAATACTTCAAATTCTTCTTATAATTATGTCTATCTCTAACTTTTAACCAATTCTTACAAAACTGTATATAAGGTATAGAAAATATTTCAGATTTGCCTGAAGTGTTATCTGAGGTTCCCTTCTTCTCAAGTTATGTGTGCGTGCTGTTTACATATCTTCATATCTATCAGCTTATAATAATAATAGTGTTAAAACCAAAAAATTATAGAATCTTAATTAGACGTCACTGCAAAGTAACGCGAACCTCTCTCGAAGCTGACTCACCCTTCGCCAGTAAAACCAATAAGGCGCGAGGGTTTCAAAGTTTAGCCGAGTTCAGCAACGCCCTATCTCACTAGGCCTTTAAAGAATTGTGAACTTTATCCCATTGTAATAAAGAACAAAATAACAAAGCACATATGAGCGGGTGAAGTGAAAGGTCGTTTATAAATATGCAGGAGATTGGGTCTCTGCGGTTTAATGAAATCACAGGTGTACGCCGTGACCGGATGAGACCGTATAACTTCCTTTGGAATATTTATTTCGCAGGAGAATATTAGATGATTTTAATTAAATACATCCTTCTATTGTTTGATGAATTTATGCATCGTGAGATTGTTGCATGTGTATAACGGTATGTTTTTGACAGCAAGGGTAGGTATGTTAGCCGATTCCGAGGGAGATATCGCGACAGCTGTGTTGAGCAGGTGCGCCGAAATAAACTCGCAAACGGCCCGCCATGCCTGCTCGACTTTTTATTCGTTTATTTATCCAATATTATTAATAATCTTAAATTGCTAATTGACTAACGTTACAACGTAATTGCCTAACGTAACTCTTTGTGTTACCTGTATTTTATAATAAAGGTGTGCTAATCCCTCCGCGTTCTTGCCAATTAATGTGCGAAACCCGTTCAGGTCATACGAATCGCAAATTAATCTGCAAGCTCGCGTTCCACCCTCACCGGTCCCCCGCACTCAGTCACGCCACGCCGGCCCTCCGCACCACACGCTACATAACCGAAATGATACAAATAATAACCGACACTTTCGCTCTTTTCAGAACAAAGTCGAGTACTACGTGAAATGGAAAGGCTGGAAACCGAAGCACAACACTTGGGAGCCGGAAGAGAACATTCTCGACCCCAGGCTCATACAGAGCTTCGAGAGAGGAGAGGAGCTGAGGAGACAGGGCCGCAAACGAGAACGAGAACACTCCCCGGTCGAACGCGCCCGCAGCGGCTCGGAAGAACGCCAACCGCCCCCCGGAAAGCGCAAGGCCGAAGTCCTATCGAAGGAGTCCGGTAAAATCGGCGTCACGATCACCATGAGCCCACCGGCCAAAAAGCACGACTCGACGAAACTGAACGGCGGAAGAACGCACAGCCAGCCGCCGCCGCTCGCCGCGCCCCCCGGAGGTGCCGCTGCGCCCGCGTCTCCCGCGGCAGAGGCGGCCGCGCCCCGCACGGGGCCAAGAAGGGCGCCCCATTCCCCCGAAGAAGCGGACGCTCACACTCCCCCCGAGAGAGAGCGACGCACCGACACGCAGCCCACTGCGACGGCTCCGGCCGAGCCGAAGGGAGCCCGACCTCCGCCTCCTACGCCGCAGCAGGAAGACGAGGACTCCTGGGGAGAGCCCCCCGTCACCCCGGCGCCTCCTCCCCCTCCGCCCCCGAAACGCGGGGCGGCCTTCTGGTCCGCTCGCTCCCCCGTCGCCGACCAGATCTTCATAACCGACGTGACCGTCAACCTACAAACGGTGACCATAAGGGAGTGCAGGACACAGGACGGCTTCTTCAGAGCACGCGAGGGTCGGCCGCTCGACGTGACGTAAACGCCTCATCAGCCGAATCGCGGCCGAATTGTGTCTAAGACGTTGTTTTCGTGTACATACCTAGGTAGCTAGTATTTATTTCTCAGCGTCGACTCGATCGAACCGCGAACTTGTGATGTGAAAGTTTTAGAAGTCGGTGAGGTGAACTGACATTTGTGCGGTTCGGGGTGATGATTGTTGATGTGAACCTCATTAAATAGTGATGATGGCGAGTCGACTTTGAATACGATTGGTTGTTTTTATCGGCCCCAGAGCCCCAATGTACCTCACTTTTGACCACCTTTTTGTACATAATATAGAAGAGCTATTGTCAATTGTTAAAAATTGTCTATTATTTGTTGAATTATTATAAACAATGACTGGTTTCAGTGCGTACCTGTCGATGTTAGCGATTAATATATGATAGTAAATGGTGTGTTTATAATTTTATCCTGCATACAATAGATAGTTAAGTAATACTATGTAAGAACTCTCAGATAAACCCATATTGCAATAGCTAAAACAACCACCATAGTGTAATAAAAGTCATACATATAGCTTCAAAATAAAGTTGGAATCTCTATTATTATTATTAATTCGTGTGACGCGTTGCAACAAGTGGGTTCTATGAATTAGCGTGAGAAAGTCGATATTTTTCTCCTTATTAAATTATACGGGCTATCTCAGGGTTGTAATCCATCGAATAGGGGTTAACATTAAAGACTTCTTATAAAGTTCTGTTAACCTGGTACCTGTGATAGGGGACTTTTCAGTTTAAATGCAATCCGTGAGATTAAGCCTTAACTTATTAATTAATTCGTTTTATTTTGTTATTGTTATTTATGTTATTAATTTTGCATTTGATTACAGTGTTAGTTTGCACGATGTCATCGAATCGAAGACCTCAATAAACTGTATCTTATTGATAGTTAAAACGCTAACTTTTGTGTTCCTTATTGTTACGTAACCTATTTTTTTGTTCCTTAATATTCATAAGTAATTTTTATCTGTAGAGAGAGGCAGGTAATTTTATTTTAATAATGTATATGAGTAAATTGTCATGTCAGCGATATTTTGTTTTCGCTTACGTGTGAATGTTACTCTGATTCAGAGTTATTTAACTGTCGGGTTTGAGATAATTTAACGATAAAAACACAAATTAAATTCATTGAAATTTTATCTGTAAACCTGACAATAACTCTGAAGTAATATTATTCGTTTTAAGTACTCCCTTGGTTTTAATTGTTCGTATATAATATTCGAAATTCAATTTTTGTTGAAAGATTATTTATTAAATAAATCGTATACACAGTGCAATGACAATCCACTAGTGATTTTTCTTAAATTACCTACCTGTATAATATTTTTGCATTTTAACTGTGACGATAATTGTAAATAATGTAAATATTTTATTTTAAAGAGCACTTGTTCTATATTGTGATAGTTCTCACATACTGTAGTTTGTAAATAAATGAGAATGAATAAGAAGATATCTTTGTTATAATTTGCCACCATCCAAAGTGAAAGAAAATGTTTGAAAAATCAAACCAATTTTCAGTTAAACTGGGGACAGCCGTTACTTATTTTTATTGGCGTAACATAACTAAATACTACGAATAAATTACCTTCGTTCATTTTAATTTGTTCTGTCCTGTGTTGAATGAAAAAACATTGTATAATGTAGGCTAACGCTCCTTTTGTCGTTAAAATTAAAAACCAGACGTTTCATGATTTATTCATATGTTTAATCAATCATTATTGAACAACAAAATAGAAAAAAATTATAAAGATTAAAATAGTTTAATGATTATTTTTCCGACCCAAATATCGACCAATAGAATTGCACCATTCGACGTCACGTGGTACAACCTACATGGTATTATACTGATAATTTTTTGAAAATTTTCTCTGGTAGTTGCTTCAAGAAAAGTATTAAGTAGTTGTTTTATTCATTATGAAATTCTTATTTGTTAACTGTACATTTCGTCTCATGGTGCAATTCTATTGGCCGACATTTGGGTCGGAAAAATAATCCCCCGAATACCACACGAGCTTCAAAATTATCGGGTATTTCCCGATAGGTTCGTTGCAAACAAATGAAGGAGTCAAGTTTTTCAGGTTAAAAAATCACGAGCGCGAAGCGCGCGAATCTCTTGTGGTATTATAAGTGAAAAAATTACAGAATACCTTTTTGAAATGAGAGCCATCTAGTTCTATTTACCAAAAACGTATTACTCTGGCTTTGACATAAATAATAATTATTAAAAAGCATCATTTCTATTATTAAGTTAATAAAATACTCCAATATTAATTAAATATAAAGTCAAAATTATCCAATATAAACATTACGTTGCGGTAAGCCTGAAGTTCGTTTTCAGAGTAGGCAAACTTCACAACAAATCTTGCAACTAATCAATAAACTGGATCCGAAATCGCCGGACGCAGAATCAAGTTGTCAAACTGTGTTGTGCAGTAAGAACTAAAATTATTTAATACCAACTACAAATTGCTTGATCGATCGCAGGTTAAATCCAGTGTATATTTTACTGTTTGGAAATGGAATGGTCTCGAGAGAAAACCTTGAAATTAGTCGGATTACTTCAAGTCAATGCACCGCTTTGGAATCCTAGCAATTGTGAAACTAGGCGCGAGAAGCAAAAACGCAAACAGGAGCTTCGTTCTATTGCAAATGTATTTAGAATATCGGTTTTCGACATAACAAAGAAAATACAGCATTTGAGGACTCAATATAACAGAGAATTAGCTCGAGAAGCTCTAGTCCGTTCTCAAGATCCAAACGATAGATACGTTACAAATTGGTATGCCTATGATTACCTACACTTTTTAAAGGACTCAAACAAGCCATACAGGCTTGTTCATTCGGTAAGTTGTATTTGTATGAAAAATACATTCAAAACAAATTAGATACTGTTATAGCAATTATACAATTGGCCTAAATCGTTATTAAGTTCAGATATTTAGTAATAGCTAGTACTTATTTTAATAGTTTACTTAACATATATTCTATTGCCCAATTTAGGAATGAATGTGTCATTTGTAAGACAACTTTAACTCCTATTACATTTTCAGGATATTTATACATTTAACAATACATCAACTGATAATGCAATATCACCCGATGAGAATAAAAATGATGCCTTATCACCACCATCTAAAATGGCAAGAACTGAAAATATATTGGACTCCAACTTAGTTTACTCGTCGACAGCTAAGAGGGATGAATTTTCAGTATTTGGTGAGTACATTGCAAATGAACTGCGTTCACTAAAATGTGAAAGAAGCCTATTACTTGCAAAAAAGAGAATGCAAGATGTAATATTTGATGTCAAAATGAATATGCTAACTGAATTTAGTCTGAAACCCACCAATGTCTTCACAACAGCCATTTCTCAAGCTGAGCCAGTGCGGAATGAAAAATTATTGTATACTGTACCTGGTATTAACAATAATGAAGCATTACCAACATCTCAAGCACCTCCAACATCGGCAATTAATGAGATTATTATTAATGGATCCTGCCACTATTCAACATTCAAAGTGGATGAACAATAGCAATGCCAACCACTTCCCAATGCAGAAGTGGATAAACCTGAAGAATATGATATGAGACATTGAGTTATTGTCTCTTTATAGAAATATAATCTGAAGTGATTTATGAACTTGTCCTAAATTTCTAAGGTACACAAATAACTTGTATTTTAGACGAAACATGTTATTAATGACTTCATAAATTGTGTAGATTAGGTGTAAATGTAAATAAATATTTGTATATAAGATTCAGTATTGTAGACACAGTATTATAAACTTACGCCCATATTCAATACAATCAGTGTAATTGCACTATCTTAACTAAAGTATTCTTTTCTCTGTCTTTGTCAAATTGTGTTAATGGTGTGATATTATGAGCGCTTTAGTTAAAACTGTACAATGACACTTCTGGTCGTTAATAATAAAAGTGATGTGAATATAATTGTATTATATAAAAAATTACATAGGACTATGTATTTATGTTCAATTATTTTAAGAAATAAAAGTGTATTTATCACTATTTTTTTATCATTAGTTTGCCTTTAAATTACCTAGTAAGTAATAGTTCATAATACAATGCCAAATTGAATTTTTTCACATTATACAGAAGATAAGATGTTACTCAAACAACTAATGATAGTACTAAGAATACTTAAGTTTTTTTGTTCTACTCCCTGGTATTGTGTCCAGGGACTTTTTTATCTCTTATATTGTTACTAAAAAGATACATAAAATAAAATCATACTTCGTGTCATCGGTAATATTATTATTTACAATATTTATGGCCGGACCCGTTCTTTCATTTTTCTTTGCCGCAGGTACGGTCTGTGCTTTGTTAACATGTTATACGCCGTTAGGGTCTACTAGCATCATGTTGCTCCAGGTCGTGCCTGGACGGTCCGAATATAGGGCAATGTATAAACGTGTTCTACAGTTCGACATTATTGCAGCTATGCAGGTAATGTGTAAAGACCTGTGCCCTGTAACAATTCGCGCCATCTGGATTCTGGTGTGAAACGCTTCTCTATATAACATCTCCAATAAATGCAGCTCTAACATCTCCAATAAATAATTTTGTAGTTCTAGCTGTTTCACCCCAGGTAGCGCTCATTGCATACTTCTAACGTCTTTTACCTTATCTGGCGTTTAATATAGGTACTTATGACAGGGGTATGCGCGTATTCAGGTTTTTTTCTTAGTTTTTTCGCCGCTTCTTTTGCTAACGTGTCCGCCCTCTCGTTCCCCGGCGTATCAACGTGCGCTTTTACCTAGAAAAGACTTACATGAATTCCGCTTTTACGGCACCCTTCTAGGCTCCGGCGGATCTCGGCTACCTGAGGATCGAGAGACCCGCCACTCACAATTGCATCTAATGCTGACCTACAGTCATTAGATTTTGCATCACGCTTAGTTTTATTAATACGTAGTTATTCGCATTTCGCAGCGCTGTCAATTTGGCTTTAAAAACTGCAGTGGGGTTCCATCTTCATCTTCTGGCTCTTTATTTCCGTTCCCTCTTTCCATTGCGTCCATGCGGCGCTTATACGTCTATACATTTTCGTGAAAATATGGCCCGTCTAGGAGCCCCTTTAGAGGTAGAATATTATATTTCGTGGAAATGTTGGAGAGACTGGGGCTGCGTGTGAAAAATAATCACACTCGGCGTGTTAAACGGTCACAATTGCTTGCAGGGCCTCGACTCTCGAGTGCGTACAAATTTACGGGCGTCTTTCGCACCCTGAATATTATTGCTTGTGAGACGGATCTATTTATTAGTTGCACACTGGCTGAATTCACAAGAATTGCATTATTTATAATAAGTTATAAATAGTGTAGGTTTTAAATTTAGTTTAATTTTTACATTAAAAAGTTTCCTATTTAGGTATTACTTACATATTAGTATTCAGTTACTGTAAAATTAGAAAATAAGGAAATAAGTAAATTTCTTCCGTGAATTTTACCCAATCAGCTTTTTAGTGTTGTATTTTTGCATTAATTTTGAATAATAACTATGTTCACTGAATGTTCTCATTGTGATCCGATGAGACCATTCAGTGGCGAACGTTCCTTATCACTAGTTATTTGTTATTAGATATGATTTAAATAAACGACGGATATTATGTTGACCAGTGTCAAGTGAAGTCTCAACTACAAAACAAGCTATTGAATCTTGAACGGTATGTTATTTATTTTATAACGGTCTACAAATTAAATTAGATTGTTTCATTCGTTTTCAAATTATTATTATTATTTTTAATCGTCATTAAAAGATCGTGGATGGCATAATGATGTAACAAATAATTTGAAGTAAGTAAGCCTGATAAAATATTTAAGGGACTTTGTGTGTAACGGTAAGTAAAATAAATAGATCCTGAAAATACTTATTAATTAATAATAATATTTTTGTAATATAAATATTTTATAGTGCAATCTAGTGCAAGAAACAAAAGAACAAATTATCTTGAGACCGTTTCCTAATAAGTATTGTCGAGTACATATTGACAATAAACTGGCAAGTTTCAAAATATCAGTTATCACTGGTTCAACGACATTTTCGAGTTGCAAAAAATGTAAACAAACAAATCGTTGAAGATAAGTTTTCCTGTGGTATTTGGTGTTTTTAACACAAAACTTTAATTTCAGGATGTTAAAAATGTTATATTTATTGTTATGGTGTATAAATATAGTAATAGCTTCAATAAATGGTTATACTGATAAGCAAAATGTAATTGAAGCTTTTGAATTAAACACAAAACGATATCGCTCTGATTGGAAAGATCTCGATACACGTCCATTACCAGAGTGGTATGATAGAGCTAAAATTGGAATATTTCTACATTGGGGAGTGTTCTCTGTCCCAAGTTTTGGGTCGGAGTGGTTTTGGAGTAACTGGGTTGGTAAGTATTATTTCTTATTCTTGTCGCAATTATATTAAATATGATTCTATTGTATAAGTGTATGTTACAGTACACCAGACTTAATAGTGCATTAGAATAGATGGACAATTTATATTTATTTATAGGAGGAAACCAAAAGTACATAGATTTCATGAATAAAAATTATCCACCTGGTTTTACATATCAAGAATTTGCACCTATGTTTAAAGCTGAATTTTTTGATCCTGACGAATGGGCTACACTATTTAAGAGAGCTGGAGCTAAGTGAGTAGAGAAGTTATTTGAGATAGTAGGGCTATGAAAAAGTGTGGTAATTCCTTACAATTGAACTATATTGTTTGTGCTTTTAGATACATTGTTTTAACCAGTAAACACCATGAAGGTTTTACATTATTTCCTTCAAAACGGTCATTCAGTTGGAATTCTGTTGAAGTTGGTCCTAAACGAGATCTAGTAGGTGATATTGCTCAATCGGTTAGGAAACAAGGAATGAAATTTGGTGTATACCACTCATTATATGAATGGTATAATCCTATTTACTTGGAGGACAAGCGGTCATTGTTTTTAAATAAAAGTTATCCATCAACAAAACTGTGGCCTGATATAAAACAACTGGTCAATGATTACCAGCCATCTGTGTTGTGGTCCGATGGCGACTGGGAGGCATTTGATGCTTATTGGAATTCAACTGACCTTTTGGCGTGGTTGTATAATGATAGTCCTGTGAAAGATGAGATTGTAGTCAATGATCGTTGGGGGATTGGGATCCCGTGTCATCATGGAGATTTTTATAACTGCGCTGACAGGTATAATCCAGGTAAGATGAAACTCTATATACTCTGGAAAGCTCTATATGATTATGATCAAGACCCACTTAGGGTTGTCTAGAGAAGTGTTTTTTTAATTTATGTAAATTTGAACATTAGGGCTGTATTAGGGTGCATATTTGATTGTTTGTAAATGGAAGGTTTAAATGTTCATACAGGAACTCTTCAACCTCATAAGTGGGAGAATGCATTCACGGTGGACTCAAAATCGTGGGGCTACAGGCGAAACATGAACTTGTCTGAAATACTCAGTGACAAACAGTTACTCAAAGAAATCGTGTCTACTGTCAGCTGTGGAGGTAACTATTATAATAATTTAAGAAATTTGAATTCTGTGTATTATTTTAAACAAAAGTACTGCATTAATGTTATTGTGTCCTTGTACTTTGATTCTTCTAATTTTCTGTTTCTTTGTTACTTTACAAACTTTACAATAAAAGTTACTTTAAAAAACGTTAAGTAAAACTACTTAAAGTTTTTTAAAATATATAAATAAATTATATTATGTTAGCAAGTTTTATAAAAGAACTATTATACTAGTTTCTTAAAAATAAAATATATTACTTCTAGTATGCTATACTTGTGTATATTTTCGCGTCGCGAAATCGCGTTAATTTGCAACATCTTCTATTTAGTAGAGAGCAGACATTAAAGTCTGTAAAGCATTCGAAGTATTGTTAAATTAAAAAAAATAATTGTTATGTGATAGATTACATTGTTTTATCAATATATAGTTAAGCTGATGATATTTCTATTAATAAATTTAAATGCAATTCTAGGCAACGCTCTTATCAACGTTGGTCCAACAAAGGAAGGCACCATTGCGCCAATATTCCAAGAGCGTCTCTTGGCTCTTGGTGATTGGCTTCAAGTAAACGGTGAAGCAATTTACGATACTTCGCCATGGATACGTCAGAACGATAGCCTTAACAATGATGTCTGGTACACGTGCACAAAGCAACAGTATGACGGGTTTAACCCCACATCTAAACCAAAGGCAACAGATGTGACGGCGATTTTCGCGACCTTTTTCGAGTGGCCTAAAGATGATGTACTCAGTATAAGGGATGTCGTCATTTATCTACATCGACATAACACTTTGCGCGTTACCTTGTTGGGAAGTGATAGGACATTGAAGGTGAGTACTAGTACTCAGATTATGTGACCTAGGAATCAATCTTTGATAATTGACCTATTTTAGTTCTTTGTGTAGTATCTAAAGATTATTTTATAGCTTTGCCAGCTTTTAGGTAGTTAGTTTTCGGTATTTTGCATGCCGGTTTTCTCGCGATGGTGTTTATACTATAAGGCTAACTCTTGAACATTTTAAATATTTAATGATACATGAAAAATTCAAGAAATATACATATAGTCGACGATTACGATACGGAATATTCGTGATTCTTTCAGTCTTAACAGAGTTTTTAATTGTCACTAATAACTATCACGTGATAACTAAATCACAAAAGGACTTATGTAAACAAAAACAAAGGCCACTGTCACAATGGTGATGCAATGTATCGTAAAGCAGATAGTAGAAATCAAATTGATTTCAAATAAAAACATAATGTCCTTTGTGAGTCACTTAAAAAGAAACTCCTTCATTCATAAAAAATAGTTGTGTAACAGCACAGATTTTACAAGTACACTATTTAGAAACGAAAAACTTAGTTAAAAGAACACGATTAGACTATTTTTTATAATTATAAAAAAAACTGCTTGAAAGTTCATATCTATGTGTATTTTATTCTTCCTATCTCCCTAAGGTATTTATGGAATATCTATAGCTGGAGATTTGTAATTAGTACTGATTCTATTTTATTGTAATCATAATTTACTTTTGTTAAAATACTGTAAATACCTAAAATGTTAAAAATAAATAAATACCCAGTGTGCAGGGTTTTCAGTTTTTAGCTTTTATGTAATAATAACAGCAAGTGTAAATACTTTTGATACGTATTTCTGTTTCAGTGGAAGATAGCATCCGGCGTGGCCTACATCGAGTTACCCAAGGAGTCTGTCAAGTCCAACGTTGGATGGTCGCTTAAATTTTGTAATATTTAATCTTTAAATTAGCTGGGGCAGTGAACCCTGGGAGTAACGGTCCCCTGTAAGGTTAGAAATTTGTATACTTACGATTTATGACATGCTAAGAGCAATAGCCATGACCTGGCAGGCGTAGCCCTGCACGTCATCAGCCCCTTTTTTTTTTGGACTGTTAAGTAAATTGAGTTTCAAAACTTGTTTCTGTAAATTTGAAAATTTTATAGGATAAAGTTTATTTATTGTACATCTTAAAAAAAATTGACAGGCGATTACAATAAGCAGAAGATATGACAGATCAATTAGAAAACGTACAGTTGATGAGTTAAAATAAACTTTATCCTGTATACTTAAAATTTTTATATGTTTTCAAGTAAACGTCTCAGAGTAAATATGTACAATGCCAGGCGGTTTTGAACAGCATAAGACCTTGACAGGCGAGGGGACAGCTGCTGCAGCGGCGTGCAAATAAGAAATGTTACATGAACGCATACAGTAAATGCAATGTATTTTATTGGGTTTTATGCAATCTACATTATTTTTAACATTCATTTTCTTCAGCATCATCCGAAATTTCGCTATCACTGTTTTCATCATCATCTGATTCTTCAACAATGTTTTCCTCATCTGAAAATAGTAAAAAAAAAATATTTTAATGAATCAATAAGGTTGTTAAGAATTAAATATCAAGCTCAATTACATAGGACTGCGTATTAAATGTTACGGAATAAAATAGTTGTATGTTACCTGAAATGCATTCCTCAGTTTCAGTCGATTGTGTGTGGCAGTATCAGCAGGTCCTTGTAAAAGTATGTCGTATATAGAAGATGGAACCGTATTCCCCTCAAACCAATTAAATTCGTAACGACTATCAATTAAGTTCCAACCGTTATTTTCAGGTGTAAGAATTGTTGGTTCTTTTAAATTACAATTTCGCCATATATTTGTAATGTAGGCAGTTCTCAATAATTGTTGATGTAGTTCACGTTTGCAGGGTGGTAAATTCGATGAATCATAGCTTACTACTTTTTTCATAAACACTTTAGGATTATTTGTGTTGTACGTAGCAAGGAACTTTTCATAACGTGCATTATTTAACTTTGAACATTTCAAACCATACATTTGGCATACAAATTTCTCTAGTATCGGGAAAATTTTTTCTTTCTTTATTATTATGAATAATTTCCATTTAATATATATTTAATAATGATAAAATTTGTACCACGTAATTAAGTCAAAAATATAGTTACAATTAAAGAATAAAGCCTAGAAAAAATATAGAAGTTCATAAAAAATACCTGATGATGATGCTGGTAGATTTGAAGAAGTTGATGATTCACTTGTGCGATATTTTTTCATCACAGCAAGAAAGTTTTTATAACATTTTACATGGTAACCAGTATTTGCGTTAATTCCTCTGGCAAAGAAATGTCTTTAAATTTTAAATTATTGTCTTTTCTTATTTTCAATATTGATTTACTTTTATTCAACGTAGTCTCTGTAAATCGTACAGTTTTTTTGTCAGTGTCTTCGTTACAAATCACACAAACCACGTGTTCCAATTCCATCTTGCACACTATTTACTGAAATGTTAATATTAAGTACAACAATACAAATATCATGCACAATTGATAATAATATAAAGTTAGATTTTTTAAAAATTCGAATTCACTCAACATAAGAAATGTTATAGCTCAAAGCATCTTCACAAGTAAAAATCATCTTCGTATTAGATAAACGGTCTCACTCGCACTATAGGCATTCACGCAACACCTCTCACTCGCACTCCCTTAGCAGCTGTCCCCTCGCCTGTCAAGGTCTTATGCTGTTCAAAACCGCCTGGCATTGTACATATTTACTCTGAGACGTTTACTTGAAAACATATAAAAATTTTAAGTATACAGGATAAAGTTTATTTTAACTCATCAACTGTACGTTTTCTAATTGATCTGTCATATACTTCTGCTTATTGTAATCGCCTGTCAATTTTTTTTTAAGATGTACAATAAATAAACTTTATCCTATAAAATTTTCAAATTTACAGAAACAAGTTTTGAAACTCAATTTACTTAACAGTCCAAAAAAAAGGGGATGACGTGCAGGGCTGACGCCTGCCAGGTCATGGCTATTGCTCTTAGCATGTCATAAATCGTAAGTATACAAATTTCTAACCTTACAGGGAGACGTTACTCCCAGGGTTCACTAGCTCTTGGACCAAATATATATTTCGAGTAAACTATGGTGTATTATTTCCTTTCAGTTTAGTACCAATAGTGCGTTCGTGATAGGTTTTGTTTCAAAAAATCATAAGTGTGTGTCATGATATGTTAGGCCCTGTTAACTAAATGTACCTACTTAGTAGAAACTACTTACTTTTAATGGTGCTACAATATTTTTCTAAAAAGCTATATCACCTTTTTTTTATACCTGAACTCTGAAGTGGAAATGCATTTGCCCCGAAAGTTCCCACACCAAAATCTCTGCTATTATAAACCTCCGCTGTAGTACACACACTGGGTACTGGATGACCCACCGACACTTTAACTTCATTATCACTAATTGATGCCGTAGGGGCTGCCCCCTAGTCCTTCGACCCATTATTGAGACCTTCCTAAACTTTTTTATCTACTGGGCATTGCACAAAAACTACTTGGCTTCCACCTTGACCTCCTAAAAGAGAGCCAGCTTTATCACATTCACTTGTGGCAGCTATTGCTGCAATGACTTCTCAGACTGACACGGAATCGTCCAGTCTCGAAAATCGAGTTTAAACCGTCTTAATGGTGTGAACTAAACGATTCAGATTTGTTTGATCTTCATAGCCATGTTCCTTCCAACCCCACTCTTCATCGTGCTTTGTTACGTTCCTCACATCAACACTGCAAAAAACTCAGTTTTGGATCGCACTGCCCGGACATACAACGACCCTTACTGGTTTAAGCGGTTGCGGAATATGGTTAAACATTAAAATGAGTATTAAGAATACCACAGCGTTTAAAAACCTGCATCATGAAGTTACTTTCACACAACTAACTACTAACACACAACAGCCAAATTAGGTATTAGTAATAAACTTAGTTAAATGTATTTAATAATTCTTATCGACTTTTGCTTTCGGAAATGTTTGAACCTTTTTGTATATAAATTTTCTGTCTATATCTAAATTTTTAGTATAATTGTTTTTTTGTTATCTATAATATATTATTTTGTTGTTAGTTGAATTACGAGGGAAGTAGGAAATAAACTGAGAACAATTGAGAACATCTATGGCACCTCAATACCAGTGCTAAGTGCTACTGGTCGTATATACTTCTAAAGAAACCGTATTCGAAAAACTTAGAAAAATATATCATTCAAACAAGAAAAAAATTTTTCAAACAGGATAAAAAACAACAATAATTGTACATAACGTTTATTTTTCAGGCTTACATTCAGTGCTTATAACTATGTTATATAACTTCCTGGTATATACATTAACGTAACTTATGAAATAAAGCGAAATTATTTTTAAGTATTGCACCTCAAAATTAACTCATTCACTTTAAAACAGTTTATTTCATGCAGGAATTTTATAACAAAATCTCGCTTCTACATCATGAATACAATTTTGCACCTATACAAATAAGTTGTGCCACAAAATACTAGCAAAAATAATTTGAAATTTTAGCGTGTAAGCACCTTTATATCGAAGCCTTAGAATACATTATTGTTCAGTATAAGGAATTCTTATAAGCTCGGTACTTGTCAGGTACCACAATTTTATTTACATAATTACGCACAGGTCGCACATTTAAAATCGAATTTGTGGATCGAACATTTTTGACAAAATCTATATTCGAGACTCGAATGAAGAAATTGACAAAAAGGTTTTTAAATAAATATACATATATTTCGGGTTAACTTTGGAATGCCTCAGTGCGACCAAAACGTTTTGTTATTAATAATAACAGTTATACAGTAGTCAAACTTGATAACGCCAGATTATGCATGAAAGTTTGGGGAAACTATGACTATTTACCTCATTTGTTAACTAGACATCCAAGTAAAGGGGATGAGTATGGAAACGGAAAAAGCAGACATTGTATAAAACCACCCTAGGCTCTAAGATGTGTTTCCCAATAGATTTTTCCCTTGTAATTGACTTCTAACACCGACAAAGGTCAGAGACATTACCTGTCGTGACGTGTCTATGATCCTTAAACTTCTGCCGCCCTAGTCATTATTTTTCTGTTTATTAAGCTTTGACGGACAGATCAACAAATTTAGTTAAAACACCGATTTAGTTTATGAGTAAGGAAATCCCTTTCAAGTCTTTGAAGTCTTTATTAAAAAGTACATACTCCAATATCTGTTAAATTAACACTTAACACTATGCTCTGAAACTCTTAGCACAAGTATTTCTTAATAAACAGTAACAGAAATAAGTGTTCATATATTTTGTACTATGCATATAACAATAAACATATACGTATCTAATATGGCGTACATTTTATATAATGTTATTTCTATCACAAAAGTAATCTTATCTAGATATCGGAATGTTAGTAAATATAGTAACTTTTATAACTATAAGGCATTTACTGAACTAGTGCGGTACTTAGGAAATCAATTTTAGCTTTACTTATAAACATAGCTTATCTTTGCAAGAATTATTTACCTGATTGACTCGTCAAAATCAAAGTTGAGAGGCGGCTAATCAATTTTATTACGTATTATATATTATAAGATATATTATAATATATTATATATATTATAATATATTATATATTATAAGATTATCAATAAAGTAAACAAAGCCGCAAAACTGCAAAAACTTGACTAATTATTTTTTTCACAAATATATATAAATATATATTCCTTTTTCGAATTTGTATATTTCGATGATCTTTGATCAATTTGGTTATATCAAAATACCATCAGAATGAGAATATGTACGTTATATTAAAATAATGCATATAAAAAACATTGCTTTAATTTTGATATTTTTTGTTGTCGAATATAACTTTTTTCATTATCTTCTTCTGTCAAAAGAACTATTGAAATCAAAAAAGCATTTTAATAATGGTGGTCGGTCCTTAATATTAACTAGCACGTATCAACAGGACTACTCCGTATTCCGCGACCCTTGCCAATTTTATTATTTCTGAACAATAGAGACGCATGGTGTAAAGTGTTTATTATATGTAAACATATTTATTAATTTGTTCAAATGCCGCTTGCCCCGGAGAACAAAGTCGTAAACTATTACGACTGTTTCAATGTTTTCTCATTTTTGACTTTCTTCGGTGTCTAATTGTAATTTTTTTCAGAATTTCTGCAAAACATTTTATTATAAAAAACACGAGGATATCTTTATTCTACGAAAATTATTTTCTGCCCAATGTTAGTAATACTCGTTTACTTAATTTCCTTACCTTTTCTGATATACATAGCAACAACCATGAAGATATACCACCAAATAATCATAAATGTTAATGCGACAGTTTTACAGATACCGGCAAACATCTTGAACATTAAACAAAGGTGTGGGGAAAAGTTTGCGCAGCGCACACAAACGTCAACTGATTTACTAATCACGCGATCGACACGTCACTCTCCCGCCGCCGCGATCCCAGTGATACCTAAAAATTGCTTCTGCGCAGGCAAGGACATTTGTTCAAGATGTTTGCCGGTATCTGTAATCTATGTTTCACCCAGGTCATAATATTTCCGCGAAAAAAGTGGTATTAAATTATTACGTTCTAGACATTCGTCAAAATTATCATCGTAATGTGCGGTTACTGTGTCGTCCGTAATTATGTTTAAACATTGAAACAATCGTAAAACGCTTTTGCTCTTCAGTCTAACTAAATAAACTGTAATGTATATTTAGTTATTTTATAACTATTTACACTAAATACATATCAACAATGTTTTAAGCCTCGAACAGGAAAAGCTTTCATTTGGTACATATTTGTATATGGATATATAGGATTTACCTTCTTTTATTTCTACTAACGATTTTGTTCCCCAAAGCAAGCGATATATAAAATGTCAAATTATATTTTTGAACGGCAAATGTGTTTGATGCGAGTCATTAATTTTGTACAAAAACATAGATTTTAAGCAATTTATTAAAATTACGTTCTGTAGACGAAAAACATCTTTTGAGATCAGATAATGTCGCGAAATTGTGAATAACCCTGCTGGCCTCAGAAATAGCATTCAACTCGGCTATGAGACGTATTGCAGCCTATCTCTCTGCCTCAAAGCTTCGAGTTGTGGTAAGATCGAGACCTGCTTACTGAAGAACTCCTCCAAGTCCGCCTCGGCTAACATTGTGGCTAAGAATTGTTCCAACGTGATAGACCAATCCTCAGTCGGGTCTTTTTCGTCTTTACTAGGAGACGGCTGCGCGCACGCTTCCTCTAGGTTGCCGTTTCGATCGGGCTGAAATTTACAGAAATTTTAAACACTGTAAGTAATCAAAATATCTAACTTATGTCAGTGAATATTATTTCCAAAAGTAGTATTATATACAAATCGACTTAATACTTTTGGAAAAAACAAAATTTAATTTAATTTTTTGAAGTGAAACTACTTTATCGAGGTTGGAAAAAAATTTAGTGTAACATTTTTTCGTTACGCGTCACATTTTTCGGTTACTTTTTGAAGTCAAACTTCTTTATCGACGTATGGGAGAAATTTTGTAGCAAATCGTCACGTTTTTCAATGATAGTAATAATTCTATTACAATTAATGAAATTCTATAATAATCTTCGTAGTAATAAGGTAAAATGAAATGTTCGTTAGTATAAATCTCTCGATAATTTTTTCCGGTCCCTCGAAAAATTCTCGATAATTGGTCCCCTAGGTAATTTGAAGGAATAGTATTCCCCAACATGCGAAAATTTGACCAAATTATAGAGTTTCCCTATAATTTGCATTTATCATGAATCTTTCGTTTGTTTTCTTAAAATTTTCAGGACAATGATAGATTCACTCAAAAATATTCCAGACGTCTTTTTGAAACAAAAAGTTTGTGAATATTTAATTTTTAGTTAGGAAATACATAATAATATTATACAAATAATCACGAATTTTGATCAAACTCTTATTTATTTGAGTCGCTCTCGTAATTGAACTGTTGGTAATATAAATTTTTGGTAATTTGAAAATTATCTCTGGTCCCTTGAGTTTTATCGAGAATTGATTGAATATGGCATTTGTTATTAGGAGTGCATGAATCATGAAGTATTCGTTTTAATCGAAATCAAAATCATACCTCGAGTGCCGAAGGCTGAGCGGCAGCCGCCAAGTACAAGCTGTCTTGCGACATCTCCCGGTCCAGATTTGGTCGGTGCCTTAATTCGCCCAATTGGAGAAGCAGAGTCTCTGGAATTTTGCGTGATTTATAAGAGAAACCATTGATTTTGATGTATGTAATCTTACATACAGAGTCAGTTTTAAAAATACGTCTTAATACCTGCTCTAGCGACAGCCTCGTACAAGGGCGTGGAGTACTGCGTGAGGTCGTGAAGGGCGGCCAGTAGACGTAGGAAGTGCGGGCGAGGCAGGGCGGGCGGCGGAGACGGCGGCGGGGGTGTGCCCGGCGAAGCCCCGGGCGGGAGCCCTAAAGCGCACACGCGAATAGCCTCCGCCGCTAGGGCTTCTGCAACGAGGGCGAAGATTTTATTACCAGGATGACAGACGTTGCGAGAGATCATGACTTTTCTAGTCTCATAATTGATACTATTTTTTCCTATTCCCAATTGTAAATTAATTAATATATTAGATTTTATAATTAATTAATTAATTTTGGTAACATAATGAAACAATTTAAACTATAAATTAAATATACACTCACCGTCCGGGGTGTAAGTGCTGTCCGTTGATTTGTCCATTTGTCCTTCACCCACGTCACTAACAGATCTCTGGATAGATTCGGATGGCCGATCTATACTGAAAAAGTTAAAGGTAAACTATTATAATCTAATTTAAAAACACAAATTAAACCTGGCATGGCTCGCAAGTGCGTTGTCCGCCTTTTAAGAATTGGTACGATCTAAGTCGAATTGGTTCGGAAATACTTCAGTGGGAAGTTGGTTTCTCATAGTGCCTGTGGAAAACTGCCTTAAGAAACGCTCAGTTGTGGAACGACGGACGTCAAGGTGATACGAATGGTATTTTGTACGTCCTATGATGAAAGATATTAATCCGAAAAACTTCTCTGAACACTCTCCATAATAAATGCGGTAGAAGATGCAGAGAGATCCCACATCTCTACGCATCGCCAAGGGATCAGTCGCTTGGTAAGTTGGCTTGGTCGTCGACGATTCAAATAGCTCTTCGTTGGGTATGGTCAAGCAAAAGGTGCTGGTACTGGTGAGCTCCCGCCCAGAGGTGCTCTATGTGAGGCCAAATATCTGCTTTATACATTTGCAACGGTGGCCTGGAGTGAAGTACCGTCTCATTGTCTTAGAAGCTAATTTGGTCTTCCCTTCTAAATGACCGCAAAACTGAATCTTATTCTGTATGATTATTAGATTATAAATAAATACCTGTCAAAAAAGGAAATGGCGTCGTCCGCCAATTCCTCAACTTCCGTGAACTGCGCAGACCTCAGCTCCAAATTTGATAACAGCGGAGGCGCATGCGCACAATACAACGCACGCAGCCGTTTCTGAGCCTCCGCTCTCGTGCTCAGCCCGATGGCGAGCGACAAGCCGCGGGCGCTCACGAGACCGTCGTCATCATGGTCCATGAGCTGGAAGGATTCTTGTTTATAGTGACCTGGAGGTCTACCGTGAGATTTCTTAAAACAATCCAGTTGCTGATGAGTTTAGGTTTCTATTGAATAGCATTTTTTCGCCCATTAGACTCATAAACAATGAAACATATTGTAAACACAAGACCGAACGAAAGCATCATAATTTTATTTGTGGTTTCTTTCTCTCTCCGACATATGATTTTATGATAATAAATGAAATAAATCTACGATTATTTAAAGAAACGAAACAGCAGTGGAAAAAAATACAATTCCCATACTCCTCCGAAACGGCTCGACCGATTCCTATGAAATTTTTTATGCATATTCAGTAAGTCTGCGAAACGGCTACTATCTATCTTTCAAACCCTTAAAAAAATTGGAATAAGGTACATTTTAAGAGTGTAATGTGTGTGTTGTGATGTGTGCAGACGTGTTCTACAGCGCTGGTCTTTCTGCCAGAGACCACAACAGTTAATTTGCTCATCAAAGGCAAAAAAGAATGTAATAATAGTAAAAATTAACAGTGTAAGTAAAAAAGTCTTGGAAGATTTGTGTGTAAAAGTATAGTAAATAATAAATAAGAATAATTCTTACTAAAACTACTAGAAGAAATAGATAAGTACATATTTTTGCTTTGCTTGTTCTTGTTACTGGATATAAAAAAAAGAATGCAACAAATAAATCACCCATAGTAATATTCTGTGTGTGGTTTTGTATACATAAAATGAGATGGTATGCAAAATATTTTAAATAAAATATTAAGGGTATTTAGCAAATTACCTTAAAAATTCTAGCCGTAATGGCCTCGGCGTAATCGCCCTTAGCCCATGGGGACAGGGCCATGTAGATCGTCTTGAACTGCGCGTAGTCCACTCTGTACGCTTCGTACGGAGCCTCCAGTCTCTCAGCCGGGACCCGCTTCGCCCAGAAGAGTTCTTCGCGGATTACACTTAATAATTCCTGAATTGAAATTAAAATAATTCCTAGAAGCATGGGGCGCAGCGCACTTCAGTAGCGTCTTAATTTTTAAAATCTTACAATTAAATACTTAATAGCAATTATTTTACCAAGAATCGAAAATGTTTTTATAGTGAAATGGTATAAAAAACACTTAAATTCTCGTCCTCTATAAAGAATTTTACGTCTTGTAGCAATTATGGGTATATTTATTATAAATTTATCATACAAAAACATTTATATATAAAAAATCTGTGGCGCTACAACCTTTTTAGGTCTAGGCCTCTGTCTGTTTCATGAACATTTGTCAATCTAACAGGCAAGTAGGTGATCAGCCTCCTGTGCCTGACACACGTTGTTGACTTTTTGGGTATAAGACGGGCCGGTTTCCTCACGATGTTTTCCTTTACCGTTCGAAAGAATATTAAATGCGCTCTTTGGAAGTCAATTGGTCCATCGACCTGAGGGATGTGAGTCACACGCTAAAGCCATTAGACCAACACTGCACCGATTATTAAAATTTTCACAACACACAAAAAAGAATACAAAAAAACAACAATGAATAATAAATAGAAGAATTTTAACAAATATATAAAGTATTGTCAAATACAAGTAGAAACGTAAAACCAGCGATAAAAAATCTCAATTCGACTAAAGGAAATTAATAAAATAGCAACCGACCTGCAACTCATTAGCATCCAGCAGCTTGTCCTGCTGCAGAGCCCTCAAGGTGTTCTTCTCGAGGCTGTCCTCCAGGTGCCGGACCACTCTCAAGCGGTGCTTCAGCCTCAAGTGCTCGATGCACTCGCTGCTGACGTTGGCCCCGTACATCCGGTACGACTGGTACACCAGCTCTTGGATTTTTATGGTCTGGAAGTTTTAACACATTTGTATGCATACTATATATAAATATACAAACTATTTTTTTAACTTTTATAATAACGAACATTTCAATATTGCAAATATTTTAGTTTAAATTCATTGGAATATCGGCGGAGTCAGCAAGATTTATTATTTTTGTACGCTATTCTTAATGAGCGGATAGATAGCCCCGCCCCTATTTGCTGTCGTTAATTTCTCTAATAATCCCTCCCCCGTATGCAACAAGATATTCACAATTGTTCCATGTGCCTTGTACGAACACGAATTATCTGCATAATTCGCTAATGTATCTGGTTTTAGCTAACTAACAATTCATGAAGATGTAGACATTTTCCACCTAAACCAGGAGGTTGTGAGGAAATTTTACGAAGCTAGAAGACTAACTTTTTTTAGTAGTAGTAATAATTTATTTTAAATATTTGTAGTTAATTGTTAAATTGTAGTTTATTTAATGTTCAATTTCCGTTTTCTTATTTTATTTATGAATGGACTTAACTGACTTATCTTTTATGTTTCGTATATTTTCTTGAACAATGTAATCTGTTTTGGCTTTGTATATTGTCCAAAAAATGTTTTCTCTTATAATATGTATATGTGTATATGTATGTGTAACTGAAGATTCCCAATAAATACATTTAAGAAAAAAATTTATATTAAAAAATACAACTCAAAGTTTAAAATAATACCTTTTTAGTATTTCTTTGACCTAATAAAAATATTTTCTGTACGGTAGAGTCCAGCATCCGCCGATGAAATTTTTAGACTAGCGCAAGATACCCGGTTAACTTGTTAACAGCAGTAAAGTGGCAGGAGAAGAAGAAAAGAAGCATTTTTTGTAAGTTTTATGTTTACCATAATTGTCATATATTTTAGAATTATAGCTAGTAATATAAACTGCCGGTTTTTCTGTACATATGTTCATTAAATATAAAGAAATTAATTAACATTAAAATTAAATAAAATCGAATAAATACCTTCTGAGCGGTCCTTGGCTCAGTGGAAAGTGCCATGGCTTCATCGTTGAAGATGCCTTCGAGATAATCAGTCAGAATTTGCACCGCTTGCCCATCTTCAGTGGATTTGAGAAGCTTTTCCTTGTTCACGTCCAGTATGGTCAAAGTCACCTGGAAACGAGATTGGGTCCTATTACAAATAATATAGCTTCACTATTATAATTACTTTGTGTTCTTGTAAACAGTGGCGCTACAACCTTTTTAGGTCTGGGCCTCAGATTTCAGAGATCATTTTTCAATTTAATAGGTAAGTAGGTCATCAGCCTATTATGCTGTTTCCTTACGATGTTTTCTGCGCGAGTGTTAAATGCGCACAAATAAAATCCATTGGTACTCAGCCGAGGATCGAACCTACGACCTCAGGCTGAGAGTCGCACGCTGAAACCACTAGGCCAACACTATTCTATTAGAGGTTACCTGCATTTAAAAAATGAATACTAAAATAACAACAAATTATAAGAATTTTTGACAAATTGGTACGAACACAATTTGATTTTTTTGACGTTTATGCTTTGGACCCAAAAAATGCTTATTGTACCGGAAGCCGAACCCAAGGGCCTTCAGGTTGAAAGTAATAAACTTGACCATTACCACACTATCCTACCTTCCTATGTACCAGGGCACTATAAGCACTTAACAGTATAATACTAGATCATTAATACTTAGGAAACTTTCGTCATAATAATATACCTGAAAAATAACTTTAGCGCCATCATAGAAGAAGCAATCCATGACGTTTACGGCGCACTCGTAGGGCATCACGCTGATGAATAGGGTCAAGAACCAAGACAAGGAGATCATCTTCATCATCCCCAGTTCGTCCAGCTTTGCGTGGAGATCGGGTAACTGTGATTTTGTCAACTCTTCTAGAACACCTTGGTCCACCTGGAATATTGGAAAATTTACTTTTGATTCCTTTAATAAACTGCTTGTGATGCATCCGATCCGGAAGTATATCTCACGGTACACGTGAAAAAATCTCCTTGAATGGAGACTTCGGCAGAACGAAACAGCGCGGCCGCCCACCGACTAGTACTGACGACATCGTCAAGGAGGTTGGCTCCCAGTGGATACAGAGGTCAGAGCTTTACTGGAGGAAAATGGGGGGGGAGGGATTCCCCAACGAAATAAAAACACCCTGTGCGGCCGGTACGCATTAATGGGAGGGGGAGAAGACTTCACACGGGGGGGTTGAAGGGGTGGGAGGGGGGGGAGGCCCCCCGGGGGGGGGGGGGGGGGGGGGGGAGTGAGATAGACTATATAGGCGTGTTATTCTGTCTGTCTGGTGTCTGGTGGAGTGGTAGATTGAGTTAATATCAAAGAAAAAAAATACGAAAGTTTATAAAAAAATGCTATGCAAATTGCTTTACGGCAGTCCCCGACTGCCGCACGTTTTATTTTAAATAAATTGAATTTCTTATTTAAATAAAAAATAACTTACCAAAGCACCAACCACCCTGGTATTGTAATAGTCCGGAAGCAGAGTCTCGCAAATGGTAGCAAGAAGCCAAAACGCCTGCTCTTCCGGGCAATATATTAGGAGAACGGAGGCCACGATGTTCATCGCTTGACAATATCCGATGGTAGGGTTCTTTAATGCGTACGCGCAGAGTACGCGGCGAAGCGCTGATATGCCTGAATAGTTATAAATGACCTTTAACTTCGACATACTTTAAATATAAAACATACTCTTTACGTTTTTAATTTTAAATCTGTCGTGTCAATTTTGGGACTCTTCCCAAAGGGAGACCCAACAGGATTTTGACTCTAGTGGCGAAGTCGTAAAGTTTGATACATTCTTAGCTGTTGGAAACACTGTAACCGCGATTGTGGATATGTCATCATCTCTGCTGTTCCGTTATCCCGTCGGTAGGGCGCTGGTGGTACCCTTCCGCATTTCTCCAAGTAAAAAAAGTCAAAATATATTATGTCTCAAGCACATTTTTTTTAAAAGAGCTCGTTTCCATCTAAAATTTTAAGTATATATGTAATCTGTAATCACGATCTACTTTAATCGTAATGTAATGGACTTGTATGTTGTGACTTATATTACATATGACTCACCAACATCATTCTGAAACGCCGGATGCTCCGGAAGTGATCTATGTAGATCTCTTTCTATCTCATCGTTGGCCTGGTTCTTCGAAGACAGGGCCTCATTCACCAGCTTCTCGTACAGGCCCTTGCTTTGGATCTTCTGAAGAATGGACCCAGAGAAGACGCTCCACAGTTCCCCGCGTAGAGATTCAGGTATACCCTTCACGACCAGTTCACTTCCTTCTGTCGTTCTGTACATACTTACGCCGCGCCCTACTTCTGCCATGTGATCCTCCCACTGCTTTTCCTGATACAAGAAACTTAGGATGATAAGTGTTTTATTTAAGTCGGTCATTTATCAGCTAAAGATTTTACAATATTTAGTAGATTGTTATTAAGGCAATTTTTGAAGTGAAACTTCTTTAGGCGCATGAGGGTAAATTTTTTACGGATGAAACGCAATAATAATAATATTAGCGTCACGAAGATGTGCAGCGTTTTTGTCGAAGAAAAGGGAGAGAGCGTTTGAGAGAGAGTAAGAAGGGCTAATTACCTTATAGATATTTTATTTTTAAAATTAAAATTTCGTAAAAAGAATTTATGAAATAATATACCTATTTACATATATTTAATGCAAAATAATTGAAATCTTATATGACGACTATTAAATTAATTAAATTCCTAACATATCTTCCTTTTACCCTCCCTCTAAGTCTCGGAAATCTAAAGTTTAAAATTTCTATAAATATGAACAAGACTTAAAAATTAGTTTGACCAAGAAGTAAAGTACGCACGCTTTTTTTTTAAAATACCAATATGACATATTGAAATTAAACTTCAGTTTATCCTACCTACCTTCTTCTGCTGTATTTGCTTGATGCTGGAAGTCTGGTGGGTCTTGAACAGAGTCATGAGTGGAGGCTGTGGCGTCCATTCCCCTTCAACGCGATGTCCCCCACGGCTTTTCCACTTTTCTCCCTGAATACATCACTGTTCAACATCTTAGAAACGAATTCAGACGACTAACATTGTTAGTAGAATGTTAGTTACCTTTGAACCCGAGGAGAATTATTAACAACGCCTTACCATGCAACGGCAAGGGCGGATCTAGCATTCACGTAAGGGTATGTGACAGTCGAAATTATTAATATAAACACACTATTGTAGAATAAATATGAAGTAAATTTTGTTATAAGCCCGTTCTGGCTCCAGGTTGTAAATGCCAGATCTACCCTTGATACAAGTTTAAAAAATAACACATTGAATAAAATCCCATAGAGCAGGTTAGATTACTTAGAGAAATCAAAGAAACTATAAATATTTTCCTTTAAATAAAAGCCAATTTTTAATATAAATATAGTATTTGAAAAAGGTGTGAATAGGACTGTATGCGATATTCTAATAGTAGGAGAAAAAGTGGAACAAGTTAATAAGTTAACTCCAGATGAAAAGTAAGACGACGATATAAAAAGATGAGTGAATACTGGGAATAGAGTAAATGTGAGATTCCTTTATGTGTTTAACGAATCTCTAACAAAGCTTTACTGGCCGTACATAGGGTTGTGCTTATCCTGACATGCGGTAAAGAATGTTGGGTGTGGCAGAGAAAGAAATAAAAAAAAAAAAAACGAAGAGAAGTATGTCTGGAATGTAGCAAGACCCGTGGTCTCTGCAACCACTTCGGGCAAAGCCGTGACAATTTAAATAAAAATAAATATAATGAGGAAGCAATCGATTTGACGAATCATAAAACATAAGAAATGCGATTCAAATAAGAAATGAATTCTGTTTAAGGTCACTTGAAAATCACGATTTTCTAAGAAATCTTGTTATACTACTTTATCTTATATAGGTATTTTTATACTTAAAAGGGTTCCCAAATTTTATACAATGCAATGAACTGTTGTCAAATGAATAAACACATTTTTTTAAATCTAAATTTGGAGAAGTTTTTTATTTGAATCGCATTTCTGATTAATATTTTACATAGCGATAAAAGGCTACAAAAATGAGTAATTAATTACTTTTTAAACTGTGAATTAAATGATAAACGCATAAATTGGTTAGATATAGAATACATATTTTTATAATTGAAAAAGCGATAAAAATGTTTCATTAAATTTGTTACCATTCGATAAGGAAAGAATCAGTTGAGCTAAATGTTAAAAAAATAACAATTTTCAAAAATTTTCAAGTTTTTTTTTTTGTTCGAATAAATGTTTCATCGGCAGTCAAACCCAGGACCTCCACTGACACACTACTTACTTGGGCAATTTGGCCAATAGCTCCGATATCTTGTGTACTATGAAGTCCCTGTCAGATATATTTCCAAACAAAAAGCTTGTATGATACGACGTGGTGATGAGAATGCTCCCAGACTCGCCGGAACTCCCCGTTCCACCGGAATCAGCCTTTTCCACTTGGTACACATTCCGTAGCGGAATTATAAGCCTCACCAAATTCGCTACCTAAAATTAAATTAAAATTATACAAAAAAAATATTTGTTGGAAGTTTTCACCAAAGAAATCTGTAAAGAGATTTTCGGTAATTATTTATTTGTAGATATCCGCGGGATATTTTTTATGTAACAGGTAAACGGGCAGAAGGCTCATCTGATGTTAAGTGATACCGCCCATGGACACTCCCGCCCATGGATATTGCCATAAGGCATTTCTTGAAGGACCCTAAGTCGAATTGGTTGGTCGGAAATATATCAGTGGGCAGCTTTGCATAGTGCAAAAACTGTATTAAGAAACGTGCAAACAATGTATGGACGAGGTTAATTTTTTTATATCGAAGCATAGTTTACCGTCAAATTATTTGGTTTAGCAGCGAATTGGTCCCATGAAAATGATAATCAGATTGATAATTTGAAAAATCTTATTACTAGTCGCTTTATAAATGAGCTTTAAGATAGTTGATTATATCGATAAAAAAAACGTTTTCAGACTTCCGTCATCAAATATTACAGACACTTTAATACATTTAATTCTCTGATAATACAAGACTAATTAATACAAATTAGAAACACAGTTAATACTTAAGACGTTCATAGGGATTAAGACGTGGCAAATCAGATTTAAGTTTGTTTAATACAAAAGAATCAGGAAAATTAGAATGGCCGCTACCTACATCTCATGCAATCCTAGTAAAAACAATGACGACTCATTGGTCTAATGGTTACCCCTGACTGCGAAACCATGGGTCCCGGGTTAGATCCCCGGCTGAGACGAACATCGGTGCATTTGGTGTTGTGCTTAGGTCTTGGGTGTTTTAATATGTATTTATATGTCTACCTTCTTAATATATATGTTTTTTGGTCTCGCAAATATGGAGTTCCGTCATAGGAAGATTAGCCAGAACCCATAACCTTATGTTAATAATTTAATTTATACATAGACCCACAAATCAGTCCTTTCTTTATAACAAACTAGATGTCACTAATAGTACATAAACATTATTTTGATACATATTTAACATGTATGTATATCCGTTGCCTAGTACCCATAACACAAGCTTCACCAGCTTCGCATGGGAATAGATCAATTGGTGTGAATTGTCAAAAAAAAAAAAACTGGGAAATAAATAATTATCAGTACATTTTTTTAGAGCATTGTAGTACTAACCCGACTATCGAAGCAAATGAAATTCTGCGACAAATACATCCTTCCCCAATTATGACGTTTATTATATGGTGTCCACAGGGTGCACTCCTCGGTCCCATCTAATTTCTCAACCTGAGGTAAGCGAAATCGTAGAGTATATAAATTGGACTGTTTCTTCGCGTCCAGATCACGCTTTAGAAATGATGCCTTTTTCGGTACATTTTTGCTTAGTTTTGTGAGCAAATCCTTGTCTATATTGTAGTTTCCCGTTTTGTCGTCGATCAACCTTGAAAATTCAATGCCTTTGAAGTTGGTAAGAATAAGTATCGCAATACAGGGAGGAAATGCCAGAGTTAAAGTTACACTGCCTCAGAGACCAAATTTTTTAAATTTGTTTAAATTTTCTTTTTATTAATTTTTAATTATTATTACTATATATGTTAAGAAAAGTGTAAATACTGTATATTTCATAGTTATGATTACTAATAAATAACCCTTTGAAGATTAAAAATTAGTATACAGGAACTCACTGTTTCATAGCGATGTTAGCCAATTGTTGCATTAGAGCGAATGTTTCATCTTTCTTCAATAACATGGTAAAATAATGCTCTCCATCTCTTGTAACTACTGTTATAGAATCAGGGAAGAGCAGGCTGTTAGTCTTCACGAGTTCGGTGACATCGGCCCAACGGATTTTAAGGGTTGTGTTCCGTCCAAAAATATACGAATAGAAACACATGTAATGCATTGAGAGGTAGAGCCAACCCTGACGTGGCATCTTCCCTTTCCAGTAGCTAAAAGTAAGAGATATTAGGATAAATCCAAAAACACAAAAATCAAGCAAATTGGACCTATTAAGTTATAAATGGTAACTGATGATTGATTATTGTTAAAAATCGCATGAAACCTAGTCAAAATATACGGGCTGCAGCGAGCTGAACTAGTGTATTTACAATTATTGATAAAGATCCTTGTGGATAAAATATATAACTATGGATTCAATATATTGTGTTAACTGTTATATTACTACATTCTGACTGCATTTTCTATCGTCATATGGAAAGAAAATGTAACATTATATGGACAAGGCAAAACAACCTAAGGAGTTACCACTGATTTTTTTAAAGTATGACTAGAAGAGTCTAAAGCTAGTCAGTCTATCAATCAAACATAAAATCGTAAGAGGTTTCACATTACTATTAGATGTAGAAATCTTTTAATATCCATACACAGATGTGTTTACGATTTACTTTACAAATAATAAAGGAATCTTTTATTTATTTTCATTGTCAACACTTAAACATAAATCAGTATAATGATGTGTTATATTCATGACTACCATTAGCTACAATATACTTGTTAACACGTACTACAAATTAACATAATGGATATTGTTAACAAAGCAACAAATATACAATATATCTACATCATTTAGCTATGTCACAACTAGATAAAATACACCAGGCTTTGTAACATATTTTTATTATATGTATTGTAAAAAACCATTGTAATATTATATAACCTAGATAACTTCTAATGATAATTATGTAATGCTTGCAAATATAAAACAAATAATTCTTCATTTGTACACTTTTAATAGACAGGCAGCAATGTTAATAAGACATGTTGAAATAGTATTTGTATGAACCAAGGCTGTACTTTTTCTCACTTATGCTTTCTTAGTTACTAACGCCCCGATGCTGGCACTTACTTCATCTTTTACATTAAATTATATAGGTACTTTGTTTAATGTGAGTGGTTAATATAGAGTAAAAATAATATCCTCTATTATTTGATGCCTCCCGTTGACCCAGGAATAGACATGACACACACAATAACAACACATACCTGCAAGAGTAGTAACAGACAAGTTTTTCATCCTTTGGCATTCCAAATCTTTGGTGGAAATTATAATCAACATTTTTGTAATTTATGGTATCTTCATCTAAAAACATAAAAAATGCTACTATCTCCAAGAATAATACTTATTTTTATACTATTGTTTTGTTACATATTCAGTGTGAGTACACATTTGCCAACTATGTCTTAAAATCTAATAAAAGTTAGTTGTATTGCTTAAAGTAAATGTAAATATTAATGTTATTCCAATCACTAATATATTCTGATATTTACACCATTCCACCTTATAACAATCATATCCTTTTCACATGCTTCATCCAATTTTGTACTGGGTGTCCTTTCTTATATTTTTAATATTAATTAAAGAATTATTTTGTTATATTTTTATAACTTCTCACATTTAACAGAATACATATAAGTATACTGTCAGTAAGGGTTAATTTGTCCAATCTATATAAATTCCAGATAAATAAATTAAAAACTATGGTATGAATGAAAACTCTTGTTAAACATAAATTAGTCAATAAAACTTTTTATAAAGTTGTTGTTTAATTAAATGATCCAAATCCTTGGGATTGATTTGCTACAATTTCATTATTTATTGCTGTTTTGCCTTACAAACCATTTGTGATGACTCAAAACTTGGCGATTAAAAAGAGTGACAGTGAGTTTCTATCCATTTCAGCTCGCCCTCTCTATGCCCTTGATTTGCGAACTGGTAGTAAATGTAAATTTAGAATCAATATAACATCTTTTCTGTTGACATTCATAAGTATACTTGGTTACCTATATGAATAAAGTTATTTTGGGCTTGAACATGCTTCCTGGTGCCTAAGTTGACTTACGGCTGTAAACTTGGACCTTAACAAAAGCACTAACCGAAAAATTTGAAACATGTCAGAATGCAATAAATAGAAGCATGATGGGGAAAAAACTTTCAGACAGAATAAACTTATCAACAAAAAAAAACACACAAAAACAAAAAAAAAAAATATTACAATTAAAAAACCAAAATGAATGGAAGTGGGCTGGGCATACCATCAGAGGACAGTCAAAATGGAGCAAGTCATTAATGCATAGATACACAGGTCACATGAAGAGGAAGGTGGGTTGATATAATAAGAGGCGTGGCAGATGGCACACGGACCCGAAATGCCAGGTCAGAAATTTATGGTGGCCAACAAAAGCCTTGTGTGTTTGGCTTGGATTGTCGAGGGAATGTAAATATTCAACTATACTTAAGTTAAATATTTTCAAGACTAAACATGTATATTCTAGATTAAGTAAAATACAATCTTGTCTGAATAGAGGCTCATATTATTATTATTATGCTTCCTGGTTAAATGGTATGGTAGAGAAAAGGCATTATGCATCACTCTTACAAACATTTCTTACATAACTCTTTTAATTGACTAAACCATTAAATACCAAACTATACCTTCAGTAAAACTTTCCTGTTCTGTAGCAATAAGTGAATTAATTTTACAACACACAAACTCGGTTATTTCTTCCTCTGTATCAAATGAGTGTAAGGTTGGACTAACATTTTCAAACAGCCACTGCCAGTCCTGTTTAATTTCTTGTTCCGTTAAAGCTGTTGCTATTACTAAAATAAAAGTTTGTTATTGATATTTAAAAACAAACAAGTTTAATAATATAACCCATTCCCATATTTATATTGATAAAACAACAGGTAATTTATTATAGAAATTATGGAAAAATTCACACATCGAGTTTTAAAAAAAGTTTAGATTATATATATAATTTGAAACTACATATTTACTATAGAATATGATCAATAAATAAGTGAAATGCAAATGTATATAATTAATTACCGTAATAAATTTCAGAATTAGGTGTTTGATGTAATATCCTATACGGCGCTGGTTTAGTATCTCTTACACTGTCTAAAGTTCCTACAAGAAGAGAAGACAGCCCCTTTGATTTGCCATGTCCTTTTCTCCGTTGAAGTACAAAATACAACGTAGTTTCATCACAGTCCCTTAAACGAAAGTTGGGAGTTTACAACAAAATCATAACTATTCTGACATAGTCACGAAAGTAATTAAAGAAATACTTACCACAGTGCAGTTTTAAGAAATACTTCTTGCGGTTTAACCCACATTTTCACAAGCTGTTACGAACATACAATTAATTCTTTGCCACATTTATCTTTCTTTTCCCAAATGTAATTACAAATAAAGATGAATAATAAGCCAATAATATGATAGAGTTGAAATACAGCTCTCGCATTAAGTAATGAATGTGGACCAAAAATAAAAAACAACGATTTATTAGCCAAATTCCAATAGAAAATTGTGAAAACAACAAAGTTAGGTTTTTTGACAGTGACGTTAAAGTAGATACTGTTGACAGCTGATAGTGTAATACATATTATAATATAATATAATATTGTAATAGGTGAAAAAAATGTATAATTAATTCTAGTCATATTCATAAGTTGTGTAATCAATCTATTATCAATAACAGTAGTGGAAGACTTGGTTTGATGGCGACTATCGTGTTGGATAATGGATTTCGGGTTGACACAACGTTCCACACATGGAAAGCACTCTAGTCACGACTATCAGTCAGGCCTAGATCATCTGCTGACGGCGAATAAACAACCCTCATCAGTGTGACCGTTTTACATAATGGCGATCTACCAAAACTACAAGGTGCCAGTACTAAATAATACCAAAACACATGCTGAATTATACTAAAAATATACTAAAAGAAAAAGAGGATTTTTTTTATTACAACACTTATTATCAGTTACTTTTTAATTTTACCAATTACACACCTTCATTATACAGACAATTTAAAATAATAATAAATATTTACAATAAGTTTTATTACAAATACTAAGTCAGTATTCGCTGCACTGAGCTAACTGAGCAGATTTAGTGCGTTTGCAGGAAAAGCCCTTTGCGATTTCCGAATCATAAAACATTTTGCTGAATAAATCGCTGAGATGATCCATGGCCCGAGATGGTATGTTATGTTCTGCCAATGCTGCATAAAATATAAGCTCTGCTTTTCTTACTTATTCAGATATGGGTTCTTTCCTTTGAAGTAATTTATCATCGTTTTGAAAATGAACAGGATTTGATTAATTTGATGAATTTAAATCAATTATACATGTGTGTACAACTGTACATGTACTATCCAAGATTCATCGGACATCCTGTAGAAGTAGGACAATTAATTCATGTGCCATAAAAAAATAAGGGACACAATAATCTTATAAATATGTTAATGGTGGCATAGCTTTCTTACCTTGGATTGTCCACTATAATGTATAAGTTTCTATCGATGTTTTTCAGAATATGCATGACTTTTAATTGTAGCGATTCTGCTTTTAAATGTTGCTCCACACGTTTTACACAAGGCGTTCTCATTATTTTTTATCTTTTGTCAACCATGACGAAAATTCAGAATTTTGTTCCCACTCAGATCTATATTTCTGATCGTATCTGCGCTTCATTATCTTCACTACACATGCACACAGAGAGAAATAAATAAAGAACTAAAACATCCGTGGTCCCAAAAGGGACCACATAAAAATACAGCATGTAACGTAGATAGTAATACGTAGCTAAAGCACGATTCGCGAATTTGTTAGCATTAACCGTTCGAAAGAGACAAAATGATACATTTGCGGTAAACATCAGACAAAGACGTGAACATGTGAACGAAATACGAACGAATGGAAGTAAGTGTTTCCCGCCCAGCCCAAAAATACATCAAAATGTGTTTTAAAATGTTGAAAGTTTAAATGTACCAAAAAATACCAGAATATAAAAGGATACCAAAAAAATACTAAATTAGTTACACGGAGCCCAAATTATACCAATTTGGTACTGAATATACTAAAAACGGTCACACTGACCCTCATAGTTCATACCACAATCATAATAGTAAATCAAACGACTAGTACAATATGCAAAACATATTATAAGAACGTAATGGAAAGTTCAAAAACAACATTTTTTGATAATATAGATATTTATTTTAAAGTAGTACAAAATAGTAAAACGTAAGAGTCGTTCAAGATTCTATCCCTTTTATAAAACTAACATTTCGAATGTAAAATAACAAATAAAAGTTCTTTAAGTGAATATTTTAAGTTTATTTTGGAGTACCCAAATAATTAACAGTACTTAAAATTTTATAACTTTAATGATGGTGCTCCTTTTCAGCTATTTTCCTTTGCGATTCAGCCCAAGACTTAACATTGGCTTCAGAATTAACTAAATTATGAATTTGTAAAATAAAGTAAAATGATATAACTATAGACGGAGGATAATACATCCATATAATATTATTTTTTAAATAAAAAAAGAAAGGAAATTGAGCGATTTTCGCCGATAAAGTGTAGGGATACTTCATGTGCCTGCCTGACTTCCTGAAAGAAAATTATTTCTTTATTATTCATTAGAATGAATTAAGATATGATGGATACCGTATTTAAGGTAATGTACTTATGGTAGAACAAATAAAACTACGGATATTTTACTAACCCGGCTATAACGCCACTTCCACGTAAAACATTTTCTATTTGCGTATAAAAAGCTCTTAGAATATGAGGATACATTTTAGATGCCTTGTAGTTGAAATATACACAATAAATATTCAAAGCGCAAAATTCAGATGTCTATACTTTTTTTTAATTATAAAAAGTTTAAATTCTTAAAATTGTAGACTTATAATGAAGTCTGTACTGTATATACTATACAGCTTGTAGTTATATGTATTTTTCCGATAAGATTTTTTTAAAAACCTCCTGTTAATTGATAAAAATCTTATGAATAAGTTTAAAAAACTGTAAAGAAAAGTCTTTAGTGTAAAAAAATATTTGATGAAATTGTTTTTAAGTTCTTTTTAGTACGTGCGCTAGGTTGTGATATTTATTAAAAGTATTTGTTTTCGTATCGGTTTCATGCTTATTGTCATGACTTATGACTTTTCTGTATATACTATTATCTGTTAGGAACATTCTTTTGGGGACGTCAATTGTCAGTTAGAAGAATAATGAGCAATAACCATTGTCATAATTCATATATACCTCGTAATACCTATTAAGTATTATGTATTAAAATAATTAAATTCTACCTACATTTAAATCCCTGAAATAGTTATAGAATTTTGGTTGCAAAATTTTTATGAATTTTCAATTGTTGTTTTGAACGTTGCTCCCTAAGATTTTGTAATTCGTTGTCTTTTTGCTCTTGATTTATGTGTATTTGAATTTTGGGAAAAAAATTGTATTCACAAGATTAGTTAAAGGTTCGAACTAAGTTGTAATTTTTACAATCTAATTCATTTATCTATTTGGCGTGACTGTTGAGTGACTTGGAGCAGTATTATTTTAATATCTTATTCTACATAATAATGAACGACAACGAAAAAGAAGAAGCTGCTAATTTGGTATGTTCATTTAAATCAATTCATTATTTCGGAGTCTAAAATATTTACATTAACTTTCATTATAGAAAGAAGAATTCGAATGGGTTCTACGTGAAGAAGTACATGCTATACTACACCAGCTCCACACTGTCTTGGTTGTGAGTAACTATATTTTATATTCATATTGGCCATTTAAGTATTTTTTGCAGTACAGCCAAGTAAAAAATCAAATAAGAAAATACCTAAGTATTGCTGTTATTTAAAGTTCAACAATTAGTAATTAGTAATTACCAATAAGCATGTATTGGATACTATCAATTTATGTATGCATAGTATTGTATTTAAGCACATTAATAAGTAGTAATTAAGCATATTATGGAAAATCTTTCAGGAATGTGCTCATAGATTTCCAGTGCCTTTATATGGAAATGAAGGACAAAAACAGGATAAGTTTATTTTGACCTCCCAACCAGAACAACTCAAATGCATATTGACACTTACTGGTGACAGCATCACACATGCAGTATGTATTATAAAAGTACTTCAGTACTTATTATTTTTATTTATTTATTCCATTATCTTCTATGTGTACATGCTTTTCATTTGTGTGGTATTAGTTTATCTAATGATTAACTAGAAAAACAATTACCTAATGTTATGAAATATAGATGGAATCTTGCATGTACTAAATGTATGTAACGGTATGTCAATACTAGTACTAGAAAAGTACTGGTTTGAATAAAACAACTATTATATGTTAAATAATCCATATCGGAGAAGGCTTAAAACGACTCTACAACCAAATTAATGTGGTGAAACTGTATTGGCTAGTTATTTGTTTGTATTATAGGAGTTATTACGTATTGATTAGGGTCTTTTATGTTTAGTTGCAATAAATATATCTTTTTTGTATTACCTACACTACATCTATAATAATTTCATTATTTGCATTACAATGTTGCGTCATAAATCTCCATAGTCTTACATAAATCTCCATACTCATAATATACAATTATACATTTAGACTCATATTGAGCCAAACAAAGTAGAATTTACTCATAACTATACAGTTATGTTTAAATTCTACTACTTAACCATATCGTTTTTAGGATATAAGCTTCAAAGTATTAAGACAGATGCACTTAATGTGTCGAACGTCAATTAACCAAGATGGTCCATGGAAGTTACAGCAGATACAAGATGCGGCAAACCATTTGCAGCAAGCTATTGGTTACATTGACAATGTAGATAAACATTATGTGTTTAGGTAAATAGAATTTTATTTTATTTTTGCTCTCAAACATCATGTATGTTAAAATGAGGACAATCAAACACTATGTTAGTAAAGGATGCATGTGTAAATTACATAGGAACTTCAGAAGGGACAGCGCTAACCAGATCCATGCAATTTTAAATTAGATAGTGAACATACATACTATAACATATTTGCTCCTAAGGCAAAACCAGATAACTTCATGGTAGATCTACAGGTATCAAGTATAACTTTTTTCGTGTTATTCTAATTACTTAATTTGAAACAGGTCATCGGAAGAAGTGTTACATATAATTCAGTGTCTGATTGGATCCTTGCAAAGAGCGCGTTCAGCTCTTGTGTTACCAAAGAAAAAAGCAATTGATGAGTTAATGAAAAGTCGAAATATGGTGAGTTATTATTAATGTAAATAGCTGATATTGTAGCCCAGTTTCCATCCTAACAGTTTGAGAGCCATCAAGTATGACGTCACGCAATTTTTGGAGATAATTGAGCCATAGATAGATAATTAGTTAATTTTCATTTGTTATAGTGTATTTTATACCAGGACTTCATAGAACACAAGTCATGCTTAGTTGCATTTTTCATCTACTATATACTGACATATTACATGTGTTTCGCGTATACATAAGGAAGACATTGAAAATGCTCAAAGAGAACAAGACATCTCGTCAGCTATTATTTCATCTAAGTTAAACCTGACCTACATGCTATAAATAGCTATTGAGAACATTTACACAGATTCAATGTCATTTCAAATTTCTTATTAATGTTGCACAAAGTTATAGTATGAAGAAGACGGACTCGGAGCAATAAGATAGTTTTTCTATGGTAGATACGTCGCCGTGACTTTGACACTTGTAGAACGAAAGTTATACTTAGTGCTAAGTTTTGTCTATGAATGTTTCTGATTTTTTATTATTCCGCTAGCTGTTGTTAAAAGCTTATAGAGAAAATTCATTTCAATTCATTTGGGTCGAACGACTATAATATCTAATATATAAAATTCTCGTGTCACAATGTTCGTTCCCATACTCCACAGAAACGGCTCGACCGATTCTTATGACATTTTTTATGCATATTTAGTAAGTCTGAGAATTGGCTACTATCTACTCTTTCAAACCTCTAAGTGATAAGGGGTGTCCACTGTCCACCCCAAAAAAGTATTTTTGATTTTTGACATTTTTTTTTGTTTTATGATACAGTATACCAAAATAAATACAATCCTTAATTTTCATCTACCTACCGTCTACGATTAACCCCTATTTTTTATTTGTTAGTTAAGAACTTATAACTTGAACTCTGGGGTTTATATAGAGAAAATCTACATAATAACCTAAAAAGTTTTCATTCCGGAAAACCGTAGTCTCTTGGGTAGCATAGCAAAATGTTCCATGTTGGTATGTACTAAAAAGGTAGGCTAAGTAAAATCACATTAAGGAGAAACAAAGTTCGCGGGGCAGCTAGTAATATATAAAATCCCATTTGGTTCCCACCCACTACACTATCTCACTATATACATTACCCGATAAAATTAGACATGTATGTTGTTCTAAATAACTTTATTACATCAATGATCGAGATCAATAGGGGCATTTAATTGAATGATAGCAGACACTATCATTTGATAATGTACCAAACATATTTCAAATATCTACAACATATAAACAGACAAGCCAATTCAAATTAATTTGGCTATATTATAAAAAAAAACACTTAGACAATATATAAAGCTAGAACAGATCTGAAATTGAACAATACTACAATTTAATATTTTTAAGAAGAAATAAATTGTTACTAAAATCTGCTAAATACAGTCTTCTCGCTATCTACAATCACTAACTCCGTCTTTAGCAAGGAGGAATATATCTTTATAAATTGTAGCTCGGACAATTATTGTTACAAGTATTGTATGTAAGTGTTGTATATTAAAAGACGGCGACGTACTTGAAAGCCTCTCACGCCATACACAGCGGCACTTCACCCCCCTATAAATAACATTATGACTTTTTGAAGTGAAACTTCTTTAAGCGCATGAGGGTAAAATTTTTACGGATGAAACACAATAATAATAATATTAGCGTCACGAAGATGTGCAGCGTTTTTGTCGAAGAAAAGGGAGAGAGCGATTGAGACCGATTGAGAGAGAGAGTGAGAAGGGCGAATTACCTTATAGAAATTCTATTTTTAAAATTAAAGTTTCGTGAAGAGAATTTATGAAATATAGTATATATTTTATATTTTATGCAAAATCTCAAATGACGAATTGTAAATTAAAATGTTACGTATTTTTATTATCGAAGACATAAATTAAAATTCATTTTAATGACAATTAAATTAATTAAATTCCTAACATATCTTCCCTTTTCCCTCCGTCTAAGTCTCGGAAATCTAAAGTTTTAAAATCAATAAATATGAACAAGACTGAAAAAAATTTGTTTGCCAAAGAAGTTTCACTTCTGACATGTGTACTTTGTACGAACGCACTTTTTTATGTATTTCAGAAAGCGCTATCTCCAAATTTACCAGAGGATCTGGCGATATCTTTCTACATACAATCAAGCAAACTGATTTTCGTGGCTTATCAGCTGAGTTCAGTTCACGGGACAATGCGGATTGACTCTTGTCAAGCTGACTGCGCTGTACCTTGGCTTAGCGATGTCCTCTTTATGCTAACTGCAGCTCTCCATATGTGTCAACAACTAAAGGATAAGGTATGATTTATCTAGAAGAATGTAAACACACATTTAAATATATATTATATATTTTGTTCTACATTATCGTATTGGCTTAGTACTGTAAAGAAATTCTATGTATTTTTTTAAACAAATAAAAAAAATAATGATTTAGAATATATATTTGACCTTGGATTTCAGTGGAGGTCCCAAAAACATGCGATCTCCGGCAACATAATAGGTGTTCATGGGATGCGGTAGCTGTCTATTTTGGCTGTCCCCTTTTTTATATAAAAAACATTTTAATTACTCCTTGCGTAAATGCATACGTGCACTAGTAATAAGCTAAGTAAACGGTAGAAGATTAAAATAAAACATCCCTTTACTTAAAGTGTACGAAAAGTCTTCAACTTTCTACCCAAATCTGCTTTCCTGGTACTTTTTGCAAGGTTGGGTGAATTTTGACACGGCAAAAAAATTAAAACATCGAAACTATACAGAATTACTTACTTTATTCACATGATAATTAATAAATAGGCTTTATCGGCGTTTTTGAATTGGCACTTTACTAATCCATATTAAGATAAAATAGCACGATATACATATAATATGTAGTAGAATATATATGCTAATCTTATCTATATTGATAACTTAATGTCTAGGTCAGCATATGAGATAGTGAAATTTCCTAGAGATAATAATAGATAGTCGTCAAGCGAATCTGTTGATTTTCATTTTTACATTAAATAATTTTCCGAATATTCGCTTCTAAGTATTGGCAACACCAAAAATGACGCTGAAGTTTCACAGTTTAATTGTGACAACATGGAAAACTAAAAAAAACATTTTTAATTTCAGCTGTGCGTCTTCTCTCAGTACAAAGATTTTACAGTCGGATCAAGATCTGCGTCTACAGTGTTTAATTAAATACATAATATACATTATATCATTATTTATTCAGTTAAATGCATTTATTAGTATAACGAAAATATAAAACCTTTCACGAGAATTTTTAATTTGATTGTACTGAATAAATAATGATATAATGATTTAAAATCAGTGTTACCTATAGTGAACTAAAAAATATCGATAATACCAAATCCTCTAAGATTAGATTCAGAAAGAAAACCGAGCGCGACAATGACTCACCAATGTCAAAATCTGACGTATGTCATAGTTATCGCTAAATCTTGATGCTGGAGTTGTGCTTTCCGAGAGCAAGCATGAAAGGATTTTAAATAATCTATCTTCAAACGGCAGCTCATGTCTGAGCTTCGTGGTCAGCAAGGAAGCACCTTTAGTGGACCATCTGTTTCCACCGGTTTCTGTCCAGCGTCTCTCTTATGACAGTGTAGTCTTGAGGACGCTAAGACTTTCACTTGATCGGTCCATCTGGTTTGGTGAACGACCACGTGATATTTTGCCTTCTGTGTTGGCAACCACGATCAGTTTCTCCAAGTCTTGTCCTTCAATTGTATATGTCGCAGCCAACTAGCTTAGTCAGCGGTTCAATTAACAGCCTAGCCGTTTTGACCATCGATTAATTAAAAAACTAGACTAAACCAATTTCAGAACACGACGTACGGTTTGTTTACGAATTTCAATACATTACACAAAATTTTAAATATATATTTTTTAATACTTATTGAATGTGTTAAGCAATTTAATTTTAAAAGAAATATTTTTTATGGCATATGTTTATCTTTTTTATTTCTGCCAAATAATGACTCCATCGTACGAATGGCCAGCCAGTTTATTAAATGTTGTAACAAACGCTACGGCTGAATATCTTCAGGCCGTTAGTTAAACGACTAGGCAGGTAATTGAACGGCTAATTAAGCTAGTTGGCTGACACATATACATGAGAAGTGTCACCCGTTTTGAATTGAATTTATGAAATGTTTGTATGGAATTTATAATCGTAAGGGTTTGGATCTCGAGTTTTAAATATTTAATTGTGATGTTCAGTATAGTTAATATTGTTTATCATATATTTATTCAATTGATACTATTCGAGTCCATTGTTGATATTCTTGTTGACTTTGTTGTAATGTTTGTAATATAATATAGTAAGTAGAATATACCACGTTAATCTTTCGAAATAAAGAGAGAGCATTCCTAAATATACGCGACTTGCGAATGATTTCTGATATCTGCTAGATTGGTAGCTATATGGAGGGTAATGGAATAATATACTGAAAAGTCATTAGTCAAAGTCCAGAGTTATATGTAAATTATTTAGCGACCTTAACCTCATTCATAAAATCAGTCTTATTAGGACGAGTGACTGAAGCCGCCCAACGAACAGTACGTTCGAATAGTTAACGTTATAGAATAGTAAAGTTTTATTCTATTACGTTCATAGTAAATAATATTAAGTTGAGCTGCACGCTATGGGCTTTTTTTAAATCGGTCGGCACGATAATACGTCATTTGAATCTGTTAAATATACAAAGTATATTTATAATAAGTAAAGACTTTAAGGCTGATTTTATTTTATGAATAAGGGTAAGTTTTCAAAGCTTGTTCCTAAAGGTTAAGAATGTTTTCATTGCTTTAGTTATAGCAGTATTGAACGGAAAATAAGCCCTTTGAGGCTTCGTACAAAATGCATAGTCATAGGAATCACAAAATCGTTATAGTTAATTTAGGTCGCTCATAGATCTGAGTTTTAGTTATAGATTTTTTATGAACTTATACCAGCGGTTGAAGCTTTTTAAATCACTATATTGTATATTATACTGTGTTTGGCAGAAAAAGCTTTCGTGAAAAGCTATTTTTATTTGTCTATGAATGTCGCTGGTATAACGCTTATAAATTAAGACCTACTTATATATTAATGTCAATGTTTGTAATTTTCTAAATTTGAAATGTTTTCCTCCATACATTAATAGATAGAATACTGGGTTTGAATATAATATTACGTAATTTCACTTAATTATTTTAATTCGGTATTGAAGTATAAACACTATACCAAGAGGAAACTTACGTGCGCTCCCGTGTACGCAGTGATTTAAGAGTCTTTTGGACGGAAAATTATTTAATTTTCGTAGTGCACAAATCCTATGGTTGTAATATTTTACACACCCTATTAATTTCTGTGTGCTTGGTAATTTGGAATTGAAATTTCTAATTTATCGTATAAAATAAGTTAAGTTGTACTTTCTCTTTCATTAATCATTCGAGCTTATCCGCATATTGTGATTAAAAGCTGAAACTACTTTATTAATTTAATAAATAGATGCATAATAATTATTATCGGTTCATTATATCCTATCGATGGCGCGAAATACAAATCTTATTTTGACGTCTGTCAAAGATTCATAATGAATATACTTGACAGTGCTGAAGTAGTCTAAACAACTCGGTATGTCAGACTGCCGATACGTTTTACTTATATATGTATTTTTAACTATTATTTAATATCTTGGTCACTAGCCCGTTTGGCGTTAGGTGTAGGTCATTATGTTTCATGTTTTGACAATAAATTAATAATTTAGTATTAATATATGATGTAAGGACTTTGTATTTATAACAGTTCTTGTGATCGTGTTGTATTTATTAAATAAATAAAAACTTGTCAACAATGTTTTTTTTATTATTACATTCCGAAAACTAGAGACTTCATTTTACTATGATCTTCAACCCCCGACACCGTGTTACCGGTTGTCTCTAGAGTTTCGACTGACAATTTGAGTATTGGACTCTGTGGACATTATTGACGTCTGACACTTGTCTGATATTATTTGTCTGACAGTTTGATATGTCGATTGTCGAGTTCAAAAGATCAAATGCCAGTTCGGTATTATTTATTTTTGTGTTTTATTTTCGTCAGTGAATAATGTTTTTATTTATTCATCACTTTGTTCCAACAATTTCTATTTAAAATTACGATATTGTGGATGTTTTCGTCCTTATAATATCTACGATGGCGTATCGAATACTAGCTTGGTTCAGTTTAATTTCTGTAATTACAATAGCCTTACTAGGGTTTGGGTTATACTTAGCTCTGCTAACGTTTTTAATATCATTTATAGCTGGGTAAGTTTAATTGAGAATAAAGACGCCACTAATTAATGCATTATCAAAGAGTGAATGTTCATAAATTGACCTTTTTATTACAGAGTTCTTACAATCTTACATTTGAACTTTGATAGTAGGAAGATATTTTCTTCAGATATAGATTGTTTGGATGATCCTCTTCAGCTAACAAACTATTCTATTCAATCTCCAAAGGTAGGTGACATTAAAAAAATTGGTAGTAACCAGAAGGTATTTGATGTTAAATAACTTGTTATAAAAGAGTGTTAATTTATTTCAGATCCTGCAGTTATTTCAAAATAATAAACCATGGCCAAAATTTGATAACAGAATTACGGGAAGTGAGACTGTTGACTCATTTCTTAACGAAATAATCACAATAATAATTAATGACTATGTGACACCATGGTATGAAGTTCTAACTGATGATCAAGAGTTCACAGATCATGCAATTAAACAAACAGTAGTAATAACAAGTGCTAATGTTACAAATAGGTATAGTATATTTTTTAATTATTAAAGCGCCCTGCCCTACAAATTCTAATAATTCTATATGTTTAAAAATTATGCTATACATATAAAAAAAATATTATCTGGAACTCACAACATATATTATTTTTTCTAGAATAAAACTTGTTGACTGGATATACTTATTATCAACAAAGTTTCCAGAAGAATTAACAACTCATTTAAAGTTATTTAAACAATCAAGGGTCAAATTGAAACATATACAATTACTTAGTGCCAAAGAAGTTGCCAATGGGTCTTCAAAATTGAGCCCAAAAAAACAAGACGAAAGAAAAGCTCACAGGAGAAATAAAAGTGATACAGATTTGTCCTGGGCCCCAGGTATATTTATTAATTATTTGTTTAAAAATTTCTGTTGTTTTTATTTTTTGTAAATTTTAGTAAGTGAAAAATGTTGTACTTATATACTTGTATAAAAATATCTTATTAATTCCTTGCTATTAAAAGAATCTATATCTTTAATTCATGTCTTAATAAACAGAAGACCTTGACTTCCTCTTACATTGTTTCAGATTCACAAACATTTGGAAAATCAAAATTCTATGGGAGTTCAGAAAACATAGGTAGCACTAATTTGAAAGATATATTTTTTGACTTGGAGTGTGCAATGGAGAATAAGCTGCTTTGCAGGGACACCTTCTGCTTGGATCCTGAGAAAGAGTATTGTAATTCAAAATAATTATCATATATTATAAAATTCTTGTGTCACAATGTTCGTTCCCATACTCCTCCGAAACGACTCGACCGATTCTTACGAATTTTTTTATGCATATTCAGTTAGTCTGAGAATCGGCTACTATCTATCTTTCAAACCCCTAAGTGATAAGGGGTGTCCACCCCAAATTTTTATTTTTTAGATTTTTAGATTTTTTTTCATGATACAGCATACAAAAATACATACAACTCTTAATTTTCACCCCTCACGATCAACCCCTATTTTTTATTATATTAGATAGATTTTTTATTGAACTAAAAAACCGTTTCCTAGAAATAATATACATGGCAAAACAACGTTTGCCGGGTCAGCTAGTAATTAAATAAATGTAAATTGAAAGACATAAAGCAGGTTTTAATAGGAGAAATCAGCTGATATGCATTCAAACATTGAAAATTGTATAGCTTGTGATTAAGGATTTTTTTACTTTAATACAGTAGCAAACCTTCTGTTTTAATGCAGCATATGAAAAGGCTTTTATTGTTATATGCAACACTTTGAAAATCCAAATACTATTTTTGATAATAAATTGAATTAAAAAACGGTTGTCTGTAAAGTCGGTTTACTGACGATAGTTGAACGTGACAACGTCATAATACTGATGGAATGGTTGCAGTTTTCAAAAGAAAATTTTAATTTTATTTGTTTGATAGATATTTTGTATGGATATAGAGAAGGAGGTAAATGGAAATCACAATTAAATTGATCAAGTTACATTTATTTTACGCATAAATAGAATTATGTCAAATTGTGCCTCTTTGTCGCTCGTTCCGCGCTTGCACTTCAAGCCTTAAATGGAACGCCTCAGAGGTAACACCGCGCCGCGAGGTAACGCCGCATGAGTCATGTTTTTTCGTGCGTGCAGCCGGCTCCATCGAATTATATGACGTTGTCACGTCAAAATGGAGTAGTGTCGGCCTAGTGGTTTTAACATGCGATTTGCAACCTGGGTCGTTGGTTCGATCCCTGGCTGTGCACCAATGGATTTTCTGTCTATGTGCGCATTTAATACTAGCTCTCACGGTAAAGGAAAACATTGTGAGGGAACCGGCACACTTTGGACCCAAAAAGTTGATGGTGTGTGACAGGCACAGAAGGTTGATCACCTACTAGCCTACTAGAAATTATGACGTAACTAATGCAGAAATATCAAAAGGTTGTAGGTGCCATTGGTATTGTTGCATTATTGAATTACAATTTTGACTATATTTCTAAAGTGCATTATCGTTATTCATGATTTACAGCAATTTAACTTTTCAGCCTTTCTATGTGAAGTATCAGAAGCACTACTATATTTGGTTGCCCCAGAAGAAGCCTGGAAATGCCACGCCTTAAAACTGATTATAATAGAGCTGCTTTCATCAATTGTGCTGAAACCTATATTCAACATGTTGAGCGATCCTGACAATATTAACAGAGCGATTATAAGAACTGTAAGTTATTAATTTCTACTCAAAAATGCAAGAGAAAATTTTGTATGATTACATCTTGTATGAACAAATTTAGATATCTAAAATAAATAAATAAAATACAAACATATAATCTACAAAACATACTTCAACATTTAGATATACTTTACATTTCTCTCTCCTATCTTCATAATTTCACTCATATAGATTAGTGCACATTGCATGTATGACCTTTGAGTAAAAAGTACGAACACTAGAATGTTTTTCATTTATAAGTTTTCCTAAGACTTCTTATATAAAATATTCTTGAAAATATCGTTAGTTGCGTTAAATAAATAAAAAAAAATGGTACGTGTACTTATGTACGCGCGTAAGAAGTTATACTTCTTTGGCTTTCTTTATTTTTTTTTAAATAGTAAATAATTAATAATAAATATTTAGCGTTAATAATTTAACAATATTTAATATTTAGTATATTATTCAATTATTAATTAATATTATTAATAATAATTATTTATTATTTTATTATATTATTCATTCAATTTAATAACTAGGTATGTTTCATAACCTTAAAAAATAATTAAAACTCCTTTATTTGTTTAAAAGGTACTACAAATGTCATTATGGTCATTCAAAATTCTTGGCATAGCTGCTAACGTCACGCATATTCTATTTCTTTTTACTTGTAGATTGTCTTATTCCCATCTCGCTCGCGCACGCTCGGTGCCCATACTGATAATTTTGTGTCACGGTGCGCGCGCATCGTAAAATTTCACTCTCATAAATTTTTCATAACGCGCCTAAAGAAGTATAACTTCAAAAATTGTTATCTTTATTATATTTTTTTGATTATTGTTATTTTGTGTCTGTGTTTTGTTAGTAATAAATTTTATATGATTCGATTTGCATTCATTCATAAACATTATATATTTATTTAGTGTTCTATCTTTAGCTGAGTTTCATCATCGGACGTCAAGGCAGAATACAAAATACCATCCGTATCACCTTGATGTCCGTCCTTCCACAACTGAGCGATTCTTAAGGCACCTATGTGGAACCAGATACCCACTGAAGTATTTCCGAACCATTTCGACTTAGGGTCCTTCAAGAAAAGAGCGTACCATTTCTCAAAAGGCCGGCAACGAATTCGCGAGCCTCCTGGCAATGTGAGTGTCTATGGACGGCGGTATCACTTAACATCAGGTGAGCCTCCTGCCCGTTTGCCTCCTGTTACATAACAAAAAAATAGTATACGAGCCAAGACTAAATTTTGCTCATTCAGGATTGCTTTAGTTTTATAAGACCATTACCTAAATCGAGTTACCAATACCTAAGCCGCGAGAGTATAGCCACACATAGCTTTCAATATTAATTTATTTTTTTGTCATACGCGAGTGAATAGTGTTTATTATATTTTTACATTATTTAAAGCATCCTATCGATTTAGGAACCGCAATATATTTTATGACACAATGCCATGATTAATTATTTTAATTCTAAACTCACCCAATGGAAAGCCATAAGCCTCTTTTCGAAAACGTTGTTTGAGACAAAACATTGCGATGTAGCCTTTGCGATATAATTGACCTTCTCGGTTTCCAGTAACACTTCTTATAGTCTAACTGTGTTTGTACAAATGAATGCATTTGCATAATAAAACAGCTTACGCAAGTGCGTCAACTTTTAACGAAATATTGCGAATAAACTTAACGATAACAAAATTCCGTTAATATGAGAAAATATTTGCTTTGATATTGTGATTTCTTTACTTGATGTAGCTGTAGTCTCTCATCACTATTGTACTCGAAACGTCGATTTATTTCTGCAGTGCGTCAGCTTTCTTTGTCGAGATCCGAACTGACGGGTTTAATGCCATCATTCGGAAAAGGGCATGCTTTAAGCATTCTGTCAGGCATACCATGGTTTCCTGCATGTGTTGATCACGAGGAATACCCATATCTTAATAACTTGCTATGCTGTCCATGCCCCACTATAGGAGATTTAGATGTTCACTAACCAATACTAACATAGTACCAAGGCCGGTTACTCTAACCAAAACTATCATATATATTCTGAAATATAGAAATTATTATTTCATTAAATTTGCGTTTATAGTTGTCACATGAGTCAAATTTATGTATCTCCATTTCAGTGTTGCCGCGACTCGCTGTTGCCGTCAGAGTTGTTTCTCCTAGTTGTAAGGACATGCGCGGACGCAGAAGAACTAGACGCGACGTTGGAATTGGTTCAGAAGGATATACAAAAACTGGTAAATGGTCTTTTTTATATAAAAGTATATATTACTGAGTGACCAAAATTACTAATAATTGATTTTTTTTTGAAGTGAAACTTCTTTTGGGAACTTCTAAACTAAACTAAGAAAAGGGAGAGAGTGATTGAGACCGATTGAGAGAGAGTGAGAAAGGGCGAACGTAGCATGAAGCAAATAGCCATGGAGCAAGCGAGTGAGAAAGATGGAGAGAGAGAGTCACATGTGTACTTTGTACGCACGCACTTTTTTAAATATCTAATGCCTTCTCGGTTTAGCTGTTAATGCACAACGCCTTATCCAGAGTTCGTTTTCCAGAGAATTATTCTTCGGATTCTGTATTTTTTGTAATTTGATTCCGATTACAGCATTCCAAAGACAGTGCCGGTGAATGGGAGCTCCAAGATCGTCAAAAGCTGTCTTCGCTGCAGTACTTGGCTCGGATCATTCAAGCCAGAAGAGCTACCATGGGACCACAAGAAGGTTGTTGACCTAAACTTTTTATTGTTTTTTTTTAAATATTTTTATAATACTAGTTAATAACTACATATTTATTAAATATATGTCAGAGATAATGTTATATAAAACACAATGTTATTTTTTTTTAAAAAAGGCAAAAACACCCCAAAACAAAAAAAACTTAAAAGTTTTTAAAAATTTTAAAAAAAAAATTTTTTTAAAATAGGAAAAAAAAAATATATATTTTTTGAAGGGGATTTTTTTTTTTTGGGCCCCCGCGGGGGGGGGGGGGGGGGGGGGGGGGGGTTGGAGAAAAAGGGGGGGGGGGGAAAAAAAAAAAAAAAATAGGGGGGATTTTAATTAACTATTGTAAGTTCTCTATCAAAATAATTGTAATCGATTACTTACGACTGTGACAATTTCGTATTAATCATACAAGTCCAGTATATGTATTTAAAAATTGTGATTCTAATATGTTTGTAATCACCGTGACCATGCAATGCCAATAAATGGACCACAAAATAATATAATCCTATAAAATGTGTTCGAATATTGATTTAGGTACAAACAACGCGAGCACAGAGAAGGTGTCCGAAGAAGTTCTGCGGTCTCTGAAGTTCTTACGGGCGACGGCCGCTTGGAGGTCCAACGCCCAATATCTTCTGGAGATCGAGATGAATGAAACCGGTAAGAGTTTCTGGATGTTTCAACTGTTTGTAGTAAATAAATTTGGAGCAATTTTTGGAGATCAATTGACCCCCCCCCATGTAACGCGTAGCGCACGTTTATCTATACCGAATAATTAAAACGTTACGCTGACCACCTAAGGTTTTGGCCCTTAATATCTAAAAGTCTGACCAGTATGTGGTGTAAATTATAGCTGTCTGGAAAGCTTGAAAATAATATTAACAATAACGCGTTAATTCGTTAATCCCCGCCCCGCATCGGCCACGTGTTTACGAGTGCGTCGCCGGACTTTAAGAATTGACCCCCCCCCAAATTCGATACATAATACTTGAAAGGCTGTCTGATCATTTGTTCAATTCGACTAACCCATAGAGAATAGTTTAAAAACAATTGACGTAACCGCCCATGGCAACATTCCTAGCCAGAGGGCTTGATTTTGTTGCCGGCCTTTTTCCGCATGTACTTAATACTAAATGTCTGAATCAGGTCAAAAATTTTGCAATAAATAATGCTCTCTATGGTAATTAGTCACAATATACAACTTATTAAAATGTTTAGAGCTACGGTGCCAACTGGAGATTACCAGACCACACTTTCCAGAGTCCCGTGGCCTCGCAAGTGCGACAGCCGGCGCTCATCTCCTTAAGAATTGTTACACGCATATCTTGACTCCTAACCGTCTAGTGATTTGTATACCTGAGAATTGCCACCGGAAATCATGCGTAATTTTACTCACCGAGGGTTATTATTATCACTATACAACCCCTTAGGCTTCGACGATGTTCACTATGGTTTGTAATGCATCACAGGTATGTATATCAACTATATTTCTAAAACTGTTTAAAAGTTGACTTCCAAATCCGGACATTACACAATTCCAACTACCCAGACGTTCACACACACCTCAAAAGCTGTACACAACCGACCAACCTGCGCTCCGAAAGATAAACCGCTCCTTGAGCTGTGGAAATTGTATTCGTTTTGGCACCAAACCCTCAAGCGAAATAAGGGTACTATCACTAAAAAATTGCCACTAAGCAATCGTTAAACGGAAATTGATCACCAAAGAGTTTTAAAATTTCACGAACAACTTTGCCCCTAACGTCCTTGGATCGATTTGCTCCAGTTCAAACAATTTGTTTGTAATGGTGTTAAAAAGATGCCGGAAAGTTTATTGCCAATATCTTCTTACCCGCTCTACGCCATTGACATAAACTGTTCTAAACGTACATCACAATAATTTAACTTGACACACATACGTGCACTTGTTTTACATGAACACCCACATTTTCAGTACACCCACACGTGCACACACCCTCACGTACACACCCACTCGTTCTCACCACACAGCAGCCGAGGTATTAATTAGTTAAATGTATTTAATATTTTTTATTGATTTTCCCTTTCGTAAAGTTTGAACTTTGAACCTTTTTGTATATATTATGTTTATCTATGGCTAAATTTTTAGTATAATTGTTTTTGTTATATACAAGTTATGTTAGCTATCGAAGTACGAAATAATTAAATAAGTGACAAATTATTATAATTTAGGTTTTTCAAAATAAAATAATTACCTCACTAAATGGATCCATTTATCGCTACCAAAAACATATTTCTTGACGTTGACACATGTATACTCGTCTGGAATATAAAAACATCGTATTTTAAAATTTAATTAAAACCGGTCCAGATTTAAATATAAAGATTTAGGTAATCAACAACTAAATATGTAAAGCAAAAAACCAGAAATCAGAGCAGTGTTGGCCTAGTGGCTTCAGCGTGCGACTCTCATCCCTGAGGTCGTAGGTTCGATCCCGAACCTATCGAAAACATTGTGAGACTTAGACCCAGAAAGTCGACGGCTATGCCGACTTCTTTATTATTATTTTTTTAAATCGTAGCTACTGTAAGCATTATAAACACTTAATATAAATTGATATTAAGAATTTTATTTTGTCATCTCCTGTCCTAAGGATGACCCGACTTGGCAGGCGGATTTCATGTTAGATACAGAGCAAGATGGGGCAGACAGAAGTCATAGGTGAGTGGCTCATTCTTTAGTGATTCAATAGTCTTGGGACATTGCGTTGTTTCTATTTATCATTTTAAAGGCATTATTAGCCGTTTAAGCCTACCAATGCAAAACAATTTTTGGTGATCGAAAATCATAACTCTCTGAATGTTCTGAGTTCCTGGTACTCAATAATGGAAACTGAAAACTAAAGCAGGACTTTTCTTTAACTGAAGTACCTGTTGTCCTTTCTGTAAAATTGTTTTTGTGCCCTGATGAAAAGAAACAAAAATAGGTAAGTAATTTATTTAATTAGCAACTGAACTGATTTATTTTTTATAGGTTAATTTAATTTTCTAAAGTTATGCTTGTTGAGGGAATGTAAGTACACGAACTATATTTAAAATAATTGCCAATCGTGTGTAAACTATGATTTAAAAAAAATAGTTGTCTGTAAAGTCGGTTTGCGGACGATATTTTAACGTGAAAACGTCATAAGAAAACATTGATGAAATGATCGCATACTTTTATGAATAAAATGGAATAATTTTTATTGTTTTATCACTATTTTGTATGGCTTCAAAGAAGGAGTAAATCTCTGCCGCATAGGCCAATCGAGAGGAAGAGAGATAGATGCGACACAAGCGTACAATGAGCGTTACGGGAAAATGAACGCAACGGGACAATGAGCGTAACGAGACTTATGCTTTTTCGTGCATGCAGCCGGCGTTCATCGATTTATTATACGTTGTCACGTCAAAACGTAGCCTTTTACAGAAACGTATACCGTTGTAAGAATTAATTAAAAAAAGATTTTCTTTACAGTGACTTGAGAACGACAAAAGCCGAAGGCAAAAAATATGGAGGTATTTTATTGTTTATTTAAATTTGCTTATTAACTTAACTAACACGAACTAACAAATTTTTACTAATGTTTACTGAGTTGGTAAATTCCTACTTATAAATTTTGAAGTTTATTTCTGGAAGTTCTGAACTTTCAAACTAGGATATTTATTATTAAATTGCGCTTCTATGATAAATAGCTGAGAGCTGCATTGTTTTATGATGTATTTGTTGAGCGAATGCCAATGCTATAATAATGCTTACAGAAAAATGCAAGCGACTTATGAAGACGTGTTTCAATCAATTGCCCAAATTATTCCAAAAATCCAAATATAAATACGAAAGTCCTAACAAATCCCTGACATTCCCACGATCCCTTACTCGAAGGATTCCCGCTTACAAGAACCACACTATCCCTAAATGTGCTAACGGTATTATGCTAAATATTTTCATGGTAATTAATTAGTGCTTTTGGATAATGATTTATTAAATCATTGACACTTTATTTTATCAAAGCGTTCAATTGACCTGGATGCTAGAAGTTAAAACAAATGACGGTACCGCCAGCGTTCCGATTGATTGTGATTGGTCCAATTATAGACGCGTGACCTGATTCGTTACTCCCTTTGACCAATCACAGATAATCAGCATTACGTACCAAAGACATTTTTGCTATATTAAAAAACGCATATAAACAAAAAGTCAAACGATGGCAATGATTTAATAATTTATTTTTAATGTTTAGGTTATTTGTAGAAGACTTATTTTTTTTTGTATTTTAATTTTTAATTGTATTGGACAAGTATTCTTTTACATTTGCTTTAAAGTAGATTTTTAGTTTATTTAGATTTAATTTAAGTTAGATTTTTTATTATATGCCTTTTGTTGCTAGAAGTTGCTAGAAGTTTTCTAAGCTAATTCATGAAGGCGACCATTTCCAGGTGATGTGGTATTGCCCGTACCTGGCTCGAGGCATAACAGATCGCGGTCAGACATTGTAGGCAATTTCGCTCACAAAATGCTCGAGAGCGTAGCAGTAGGTCAGTAAATATAACATTATTGTGCTTATTTTGATGACGTTATAATAAGGCCGGCACCACATACACTAAAATGGGTGTTCAAGCGACGCGATGACTGCCCTTTTTAAGCCTCCCGTAGGCTCGGTTGCCCCCTTAAAAAATAAGAATATAATTTTGACAACTCAAACAGTTATTTCATATACTGTTTCTATAGACAAAATCTATACACGAATGAATATGTTTGTTTACACGTGTATTTCGAGAATAATATGTACTAGGAGCGCAGAATTTCCAAGAGTTATTTCTCAAATATTACCCTTTTGTGACTTTTCTTCAAGATAATAAGTACATACAAAATATAACTAAAATATTATAAGCATTGAAATATAATTATATCCATTAATGTTATATCAAGAAAGTTTTTTTTATCTTGTTAAGTAAGAAAAACGAATAAATTACTGTTTAAGCATCAAAATTAGCGTCAATTAATTATTGTATACATTTTCATTTACATATTTTCCCAATAGTCGTCTTAACGTGAACTAACCCTCATGTGAACTAACTATTGTGGTAAGAGGGAGATGTCTGTATGTATAATGCCATGAATAACTCATATTCCAAAATTTAATTTAAAACGGAGGCTAAAAATTACAATCACCATTTCACCAATACTTAAAAGGCCGGCCACGCACTTGCGAGCCCTCTGGCAACGCGGGAGTCTATGGGCGACGATATCACTTAACATCTGATGAGCCTCCTCCTTTCTTTTTTGACTTTCATGAGTGTACATTGTGTTACACTTATGAACGTCAACGTCTATATGAATAAATGATTTTTGACTTTGACTTTGACTGCCCGGTTGCCCGGTATAAAAAAAAACGTGTATGTACTTAAGTACACGCGTTAGAAGATATACTTCTTTGGTGTAATAAGATAAAAATATTTTCCAAAATGTTATCCTACGTTTGTAGAGAGACACTAATAATATAAAAAACTAAAATGTTGACTATAGCTAACTTCAGGGTGTAGGTTTTAGGTGACGGTGTGCGCGCGCATGGTAAAAATTGACTCACATAATTTTTCCCTAACGCGCCAAAAGAAGTATAACTTCAAAAATGATTCCTTATGAATCTAGAAGTGATGGAATAATAATATACAATTTTAGGAGCATCAAGTTTATCAGCTGGGCCCTCAAACAGCCTGTCAATGTCACAAACGGAAATAAGTGGGAGAGCCAAAAACTATTTATCGCCGCTCTCTGCGTACATTATAGAAACAGGTATATTGTGTCTAGTAAGGTTGGGCAGATGTGTCTCTTTTTTTGTTGTTATTGACGCATGTCATTTAAAATATTTTCTAAAATATAATATATAGTATCTCATAACTGTCAAATGTTAAAATTAATTTAATCTGTGTTGACGGAAATAAACGCAGTTTCGATAATAGGCGGCTAATTGATTGTATGAAGAATAAAGTGAATCCTAAATTTATCAATAACTCCAAACTTAAAATGATGGATTTCTATGTGTCAGTCACGTGACACAAAACGGCCACAGATTAGTTTAATCTTTGATAACATATTATGTGAAAAATCCTATGTGATAAATAATAATATGTCTATAATACTCGTCACATAATACTCTTGGAATTTAATCTAAAAAACGATCATTAATTCTAGAATTGTTCTAGAAATTATGAATATTTGATTTGAGTCCAATATTGAACGGTATTAATAATAATTATGTAAATATTATAAATTCATTTAGAGCAGTATTGGCCTAGTGGCCTCAGCGTGCGACTCTCATCCCTGAGGTCATAAGTTCGATCCCCGGCTGTGCAACTTTATATCTGCGCATTTAACATTCGCTCGAACAGTGAAGGAAAACATCGTGAGGAAAAAGGTTGAAGCCACTGATTTTTTTTATAAATTAGTTTGTATCGGGTAATCAATTTTTTTATAACAGCGCTGGTCCAAGATAAGGGAAGAACATTCGGAATTTACGCAATAGCAGTGACAAGATCGTCAGATAACGAAGTGTGGCATATTTATAGGAGATACAGCGATTTTTATGAACTGCATTCTGCTGTTAAAGATAAGGTAAGAATTACAGTGTAAACTCTTTATAACGAATACCAAGGGACCGAGCATTTTTTATCGTTATAGAGCAGTGTCGTTATACGGAGTGAAGACAAAAAACCAATCATTTAACCAGTTACAATAATTTATATATATGTAATAGATAGGTGACGATGGTGCGTTTAGTTAGTTTTAGTAAGCCATAATTTCCTACAGGCAATGTTATCTAAGCATAATAGCACGTGTTAATGCAATTAACAATAACAATAATTTTTGTAAGCTGATTACAAAAACACTTAAGTATGTTGTTCATGAAAATATTCTGTAATAGACTGTCTGTTGCGTTATAAAGAATGAATTAATATATGGATTTTGTGTTAAATTAAACAAATTCAATTAATTTTTATTTATTGAGGACTTTACGTTATAACGAAAGACGTTATAAAGAATTTAGGCTGTATTATTATTTGGGATATTTCTTTGTTGTTTGATTCCATTTTCTTGACTTTATAGATTCTAAATTATATTAAAAAAATATACTTATGAGTCGAACAATATCGTTAATCGAGAAGAAATCTGAATTCATCGAAACTTAACTTAAAAAAATGTGTTTATATATTATAAGTGTATCTAACATGTGTAAGATTTGGCAACCCTTTAAGGAAATGATACCTGATAATAGAACTGACTTCGGTATTCTTCCCTGGAGAATACGACCTTCAACTGTTTAGAAAGAGCATGTTCGATTGCCCTCTCATGCTATGAAAAAATTATAAAATATTATTAAACTATTAGTTTAAAATTTTAATAAAAGTCGTGGTTATATCTTTTTGTATTAACTTGTGTTTGTTCCGAGTTAAAAAAGGAACTAACTTCTGTAAAAATTGTCTATTTTATAATAATAATCTATATCTATTATATAAGTCTTGTTTCCAATATTGATTTTTAACTTTAACGAAACTCCTTCCAGTGGCCGGAACTCGGTAATCTGCCGTTTCCAGCCAAAAAGACATTTCAAAATACATCACGTACAGTACTGGAAAATCGGAAGCGGATGTTGAATAGTTATTTGCAGCACTTGACAAGTATCTCAAGGGATTCACGATACATAGCGTTGCTGTCGCCGGCCTATCTTGGTGGATTTCTCAGTCCCGAAATACAGACCGAGAGACATGGCAACACTGTGAGTATTTGACATATTGTTGACTAGGGGTATACAATTATATATATTAAGTGAGAAAATATTATGGTAATATGTCGGAGAAATATCGTCACTCCATGATATGGACATCTTCTTTAGAGGGTTTGAAGGGGGATTGGGGGGGGGGAAAAAATTTTTTAAAAAAAAAAAAATAAATATTTTTTTTTTAAAAAAAAAAAAAAAAATTTTAAATAAAAAATTTGGGGGGGGGGGGGGGGGGGTTTAAAAAATTTTGGGAAAAAATTTTTTTTTAAAAAAAAAAAAAAAAAAAAAAACAAAAATTAACTCGCAAGGAAATCCCCTTAAATTGGGGGAACCCCCCCAAAAATAAAAAAAAAAAAAAAAAAAAGAGGGGGCGCTACAACCTGTTAAGGTCTCAGATTTTCATCATTCATAATCATGATCATTTGTCAATCTAATAGGCAAGTAGGTGATCAGCTTCCTGTGACACACGCCGTCGAGTTTTGGGTCTAAGGCAAGCCAATTTCCTCACGACTGACAGAAAGAACGAACCTACGACCTTAGGAATGAGAGTCGCACGCATAGGCCATATATATATATATTATCATAACATAATGATATTCGCTGTTTATATTAATGCAACAGGAAATAGTTACATAATTAACAATTCCTTTATAAAACAGTTAAAATAAGGATACCCATCAATATTCACGTCACGCCAAATGATACTTTACGTCGCTTATTGGTTACTCTATAGAAATGTTAATAGGGTATTTTTGAATCATATAGAACATTCTAGACAGATTTGTAAATATCAATTATTCTACTTTCACCAGATTGATGCTCTCCTAGTAAACTCAATCAAAGCGGGAATGCGGACACTCAAAAGCATGCCGGACCAGTTTGCGAATACCGTGGATGGAGTTATGGATGGTAAACTTTAAACTTAACTATTATTTTACCGCCTGTGACTCAGTGGTTAAGACATATAGCCAGAGGTCCTAGCTTCGACAAGTTCTCACTGATCACGACTATTGTAAAACACTCCAAGTGTAAAACAAAAAACTTGGCGATTAGCGAGTGTCGGAGAGTTTATTGCCAGTTCTTCTCTTCCGTTCTACGCCCTTGATTTGAGAACTGGCACTAATTGTAAAATTAGAAGCATTTAATGTATATTTCTTTTTTGACATTCATAAGTGTACATTGTGTTACCTATGTAAATAAATGATTTTTGACTTTGATTTTGACTATTGTCAAAATCAAAGTCAAAAATCATTTATTCATTCAGTCATGTCATTGCTTGTGGCGGCGTCCATGCGTCGGGTTGTCTCTCTCCCTAAAATATGGCGAGGGGGCCGATGGCTGGCCATGCGTCATACTCGTGAACGGGTGCTACTTGTGGTGACTGGTCGTACTTGAATTCGTGTATGCGGTGATGTTAATTATTTCGACTATGTGTTTGCGTGTTGTTCCCACGAGAATGTAAGTGCGTGCTCCTATTTCACCATGCCTCCTGCTGATACGGGGCAAGTCTTTGTTTTTATTTATGTTATTATTATTAATTACTTAAAATGTCATGTGGAACATGGTGTAATGGTTGCAGCTCCTTACAAACGTTGTAAAAAAAAAAAAAAAACATGGCGATTAAAAAGAGTGGCGGAGAGTTTATTGCCAGTTCTTCTCTTCCGTTCTACGCCCTTGATTTGAGAACTGGCAGTAAATGTAAAATTAGAAGCATTAATATTTATTTCTTTAATGACGAATCACAAGTGTACATTGTGTTACCTACGTGAATAAATGATTTTTGAATTTGAATTTGAATTGGAAAATCAATGTAACATTTCCATCTTAAATCGTTAAGACCATGGACTTACATTGCCAGAAGGCTCGCAAGTGCGTTGCCAGCCTTTTAAGAATTGGTACGCACTTTTCTTGAAGGTCTTTCATATAGCCAATGGTATTTTTTATTTGACCTTTACGAATATTTTTAAATATTTGTTTTTGCAGGTATATCAAAAGTATTTCAAGGCAAAAGCGTCGATAATGACTACGATTTCAAAAGAGACGCTGCCTCGGAAGGTCAAGATGTAAGTTATAATTTTATATTACGTAATAATAACGTATAAGTTACATTATTTTTGAATTAAAAAAAATTGTAAATATTTAGCTCAAAATTATTAGTGGAATAATGCGTGCAATAAAAAGTCGACAATTGGCTTTCCGCATAGCGTTATCTCTGTCGCACACTACAATGTTTTATTTTTTTTAAATCGAAAATTGTTTTACAGCTGCGTCTTTAAATTTTAATACAACGATATTAATAGTTTATAAATATGGAAAACCAATCAGTAATCTAAATGTTAGGGTATCACCTACTTGCTCATATACCTACCTGGTCAAAATAATAAAAAAATACGCGCTAATCAGGTCTTATCAAACCGGCGATGCACTCGCGAGCCTCCAATGCAATGTCTAATGGCAGCGGAATCAATTAACATCAGATAAACTTACTACACCCCCATAATTAAAAAAATACCCCATAATTAAAAAATACCCCATAATTAAAAAAGGGTGCGTGTACTTATGTACGCGCGTAAGAAGTTATACTTCTTTGGCATTATTAAAAATAGTTTTTGATTGCATGCAAATAATTAATTACAATTAAATAATCAAAGACTGGAAAAGGAGTCATTAAAGTCAATAAAGTTCAGTTTACATTTGAAAAATTAATTAAATAAATATTTATTATTATTCTCTTACATTAAACAAATAAAACACTATTTATCTTTAAAACATTTTTATTTCATTATACTATTTATTTTTAAGTGACTCTAATGTCTTCATCAGAATTTCGGTTTGTAATTTTAAATTAATCATTACTTGGTTGTGCATCTACGAGGCTTCTCCAAAACTACTTGCTTTCTGCAACAAATAAGAGAATATTAATTTAAGCTCTGTCCATGCAAAACTTAAAAAATTTTATAATTCATATTATAAATTTTTTTAACACATTTATATTAATATAATTATATAAATGTGTTAATAATATAATTTGTAGCACATGCTACAGACCTGGATAGCAACTTTCTTTTATTCTATTTAGAGATAGAGATAATTTAAATATAATACCGGTGTCTTCCTTGTAGGTTTCTTTGGAGTTGTTTGGGGATTCTTGTTGTTCAGTTCGACATGATTTTCTTTAACCTTTCTTTAATCCTACAAAATAATGAAATTGTTAAGTTATGTTGTCACTGTTGTGCACACCTTTGTTTGGCTTTTTTAGTATTCAAGTTATGTCAAAACTGATTTATTACCTTGTCATTGTTGGCTTTATTTGCTTTTGGGATATCAATTGTTTCCAAAATGATTTTATTTGTAATAACCTGAAATATATAAATAACATCTATTAATTTAAGTATCATGGTGAGTGGTTCGCACTCAGGTATTAAGGTGTATTATACCCACTGTCCATTATAAGTGGGAATGGGCTCACTTCTGGCAGGACAGAGTTTCGGTACTACAAGTGCAACATGGATGTTTTGAGGTATTACAATATCTCTAACTACCCTGTAGGGGAATAAAGTAATGTTGTAAGCATATGCCTATGCTTGAAAGTTTGAACCTTGAACATCACCATACATCATATTTATAATTAACATTCCTACCTCGACACCATCACAATCAAATTCATTGAAATCTACTTCAAACCATTGTGTCTCGAGAAGGTGATGGTGGCTTTGTTCCACCTCCAGTTTTTGATGTTTCACGGCGATAAGATGACAACTCTTTTTTTTGTATTCAATTTAGTGCACTTCCACTGATTCATCAATTGTTTTTTGTCTCTTGTCCTTATATTTGCTAGATTAAATCTGATGTTTTGATTAAATAATGTGGTCATTTTTTTTAGATGCAGGTACTCATTAAAATGTTTACTTCTCTGTTATATCGCTCCAAGCCTTCATTTTCTCCTTATTAGTATTCGTGCTTAAATCTTTGTTCTCAATTATTGATATATAGGGTCGTAGAATATTTCTAAAAAGTTGCTGTAACAAACGCAATAAACAAAAGCAATGAATAATGGTTCATGTTTCAGTTTTAATCAACAATAATACTCGATAATACATACGGATAGTTAACCTCAATTGTATTGAAGCACTCAGGAAGGTTAGCACAGTTTTTTCACAAATATTTTATATTATTTCACAAATATTTTGTATAATGAAAATAACTAGGTATATAATTATTAATTTTAAACAATAATTAAAACTCCTATATTTGTTTAAAAGGTAAATGTCATTGTCAGATGACAATTGTCATGGTCATTCAAAATTCTTGTTAAGCTGCTAAGCTAGAATATGCGTGAAGTTAGCTTCACGCATATTCTATTTCTTTTTTACTTGTAGTTTGTCTTATTCCCATCTCGCTCGCGCACGCTATATCACACTGCCAATTTTGTGTCATAGGTGCGCGCGCAATCGTAAAATTTCACTCTCATCAATTTTTCATAACGCGCCTAAAGAAGTACAACTTAAAAAATACCCCATAATTAAAAAATACCCTATAATAATTGTTACAAAGGTTGTTGTTTATGTAATAATATATATTAATAGGACGGAGATGAGAGCGTACCATTGAAGTTATTGGAAGAAGTACTGGGGATACGCGGCCTTTGGCTTAGGAGGCGTCTTCTGGCTCCTGTTAGGACGCTCATAGCCGATCGAGTCAATAAGTAAGTGATTCTCTTTTCACCTCTTATTATGTCTACATATTAACTTGACTAAATGTCATATCACGATTTTATTTAAATCAGATATACAGTGTAAAGTCTATATAACGAAACTCAAGGGACTGTGCTTATTTCGACGTTACAAATAGTTGCCGTTAAATGGAAAGAAATATCTGTGTTAGAAAAATAAATATTATTTCTGACTAGTGTTAGTAATTACATAAAACAATTCGTATTTGACATAGACATAGACATAGACATAGACATAGACATAGACATAGACATAGACATAGACATAGACATAGACATAGACATAGACATAGACATAGACATAGACATAGACATAGACATAGACATAGACATAGACATAGACATAGACATAGACATAGACATAGACATAGACATAGACATAGACATAGACATAGACATAGACATAGACATAGACATAGACATAGACATAGACATAGACATAGACATAGACATAGACATAGACATAGACATAGACATAGACATAGACATAGACATAGACATAGACATAGACATAGACATAGACATAGACATAACATTTATTACAAACGAAAACACACACACATAAACACACAAAATAACAATACTTAAAGAAAAAAACTTATATTTGAACGCTATTGCGTTGTCTGTTACTTTTGTACTGTACCAGTAGTTAGGTTGTATTTTTTTACTTATTTAATTTATATCTTGCGATGTTGATGCATCTTCGTGATAAAGCACATGCAAGCATGCGCAAAAAACTCCGCAGTTTTAACTAATTTCGGCAACATAAAAACTACCTTTTTAGTATTCAATTGTTGTCGTTATTGAGAGTGGGTGTAATGCTATGTAGAGTGTATCATTGTATGGAAAGCTAAACCAACCAAAGCTCAGTGATTTCGACGCTTAAGGGGATTTGTTGTTAAATCGAAGGAATTACATGGAGTTTACACAGATGGAGAAAACAGTCCAAGTTTCATAAACAGTTATTTGCTAGTTTTTTTTGTCGTTAAAAATACAGGCAAGGAAAATTCTCGAAAGTGATTATTACACTTATATTAGTATCTTTATTTGTACTTCTTTTTATTTTAGGAAAGTTTTAGAACTGATTGCAGCGCTTACGTCGCCGCGTAATGTCGTGCAGTATTTGAAATCATTCAAGTGAGTAAACTCTTATTATTAGTAATAGGATTTAACTTTTAATCACAACTCAGTTTAGTTTTTTCGTTAACTAATTCTTCGACTATATTGTTGTCGGTATAAAGTAATTTATGTGCGCAAAGATATTATCATAAGCAAAATAGAATTTGTAAATGATAGCTATGATTAAGTACTACTTGTTTCTGTAAACAACTCTTTGTATTATATGTACAGCAAATTTTTAGAAAGATTACAAAGCTTTTGTTTAAAATAATTTCTTTGAAGTTTGTCATTGTTATTATTCCTATAATTTGTTCAGTGTCGTACCTGTTGTAGACATACATTAGAGTTTAGACAGTCAGTCAAGACATGTAATTCCGACTCTTCCGCTGTATTGCTGGACAAAGACAGGCTGCATTTTGCTTAACTCTTAATCTTCACATACTCTGTTATTCCATCGTGACCTGTCAACAACATTTGGAAGGAATAACATATTGCAACTGTATCGCCTGTTGCTACGTCTGTGCTTCCATTGTTTTATCCTGTTTGCACGTAGACAGTTCTTCAGATGCGATATGGAGAATCTATTGTACATGGGCGCTTCCTCTAGACGCGCAGCTTCCTTTGCCAGTCGATCTGCTCCGTCCGCATGCGCATGCGGTTTAACCCAAAAAATATTTCTTAATGTTCTTACGGATTTCAACTATGAGGAAATTGAAAGATCTTTCTACCTGCAATAGCATCGAGTGCACATCGGGAGTCACTATATACGCATAGGTTGCTCCTGAGTGACAAAAAATTCGCAGTTATTATAATGCTTCAAAAAGAAGGTTGATTTTAAAAAGCACCAAGGAGCTCCTAAGTTATAGGTTTTTAACTTGACATATGATATACTAGTACAGTTCTTTGTAATTCTATTATCTATGTTTTGTCCCAATTTCTTGGCAAATATAGAAGTTATTATTATACAAAAATGGAAAAGTCGTAACTTCTTGATTTTTATCAGTATGTAAGACAAGTCCTACAAATCGTTGAATATTGATATTACAGACAATGGTTAACCAGCCGTAATAACTCCACTACTCCAAGTAGGGATTCTGCGACCAAAGCCAGGACGAGAGTCGCGGCTAAAGTGGCGCTTCTAGCGGCGGCACCAGGTTTAATGTTTTTCTAGTATTTATAGGATTGATTAAGTTTTCAACTGCTTGCTTAGTAGTTATAATATACCATGATTGTTCGGCCCTAAAACGTGGACTAAATATAGTATCGTGTTGATTACAATGATTACGATTTCTTTATTAAAACATGGTTGTCATGACAACAAAACGGATAGTATCTTTAGTTAAAATAAGTCTGTATAAAAAAAGTTTAAATTTTAAAAGTACTAGGAAAGTATAACCATTTAGCAATTAGTTCGTTTAAATAAATGATTCACCTATTTATTACAGACGATCTTAAACACATAGTGGGAACGGACGCAGCGCGAAGGGGTCTCCTTACAGTTTTCGACTTGTTTCAAACGCAAGAAATTAATAAGCGGCTATTATTAGTATTGTTAGAAGGTAAGATTATTTGTGTTAATTGCTGACCAAATTTTAATGAATTTAGCGTTAGACATAATCTAATATATTTAGAATTAGACAGAAAAAAATATGTCTTGAGAATTCAACTTCATTTTATCCCCCATATTTGTCCGTTTCATTATTATTTTAATGTGGCAACGTCTAATAAATAGATGATGCCAGCTGAACGCACGAAAAAGTATGACTCATTGTCCCGTTACGCTCGCTGTCCCGTTACGCTCATTGTCATGTTACGCTTGCTCTCTCTTCCACTCGAAGACGTATGCAATCATTTCATTAGTGTTTTGTTATGACGTTGTCACGTTAAACTATCCTCCGTAAACCGAATTTACAGACAGACAACCATTTTTTCTAACATCGTCTACAAATCAAAACAACGGGGGTTTGAACGCAGGACCTCAAGAAAGACGCCCCTTAGTACTAGGTTTACATGACTTTCAAGCGGTGTCATTCCTTCAAGACATTGCACTAACTATGAAAATATTTTTTTACAGTGGCCTTGTGTAATCTATTCCCTGATAACAACGTACCGGAGATATTTAAAAAATTATACTCAAATTCGACTCGCATTTCACTTCCTAAGAAATCTGTTAACACAAATACCCTATGACGTAATTATATTAAAAAAATCTAAAGTGCGTATTTTTCGTACTTAAATTTCGTTGATACGGAATAAATGATTAAAGGAAGCATAGCAGAAGAAAATAGGAAATGGCAGCTAAAAACCCGTTAACTTAACGAACGACTCTGAGCGTAGAAACATTGTATACTGAAATACTACTAATCGTCATTGCTACGAGTCGTTCCTTAGAAGGACGTTTTTATTTTTATAGATAAATATATTATAATAGTTGCGATTTTTTAGATAGAAAAATTAGATTTATTTCTAATTAGAGAATTATAATTATTTTATTAATATTATATTCAGAAACGTTAATTTACAATTTAGATTAAAATTATTTTAAATATTTCGCATTGGGCATGTCTGAAAACTGAATTTTCACTTCATTTATAAACTCGAGTGATGTAAATAATTGTGATAAAACATAATTTAACTAAATGCTGTTTATAGTGCGTTTATGCATATTCGCTATACACGTAAATAGTTTATGAAATTGTTGCATATGTGAATAATATTAAATTTCATGAGCGGTCTTTATCTTTGTTCTCGTACGTACGTAAACATCGGGACGTATCCGGAATGCCTTAAACCCAAAATGGCGACGGTGTGTGTGAGACTATTAAAGCAAATTATCACGAAATTAAACGATATCTATGGCAATACTTTTTTGTATCTTTATGAACATTATAAAATCTCCTTTTAGCAACTTTTTTTTTTAAATATTATGGCAATAGTTTTAACTTTATGCCAGTTTCAAGTAAAATTTGCATAGCAATCATTTTGACGTTTTTAATTAAAATATTCACGCAAAATAAATGAATATAATGATGTTTAAAATAGTTGTTTAATTTTAAAAACTCTTGAATGTTTCAAAAGATTCATAAAAACTAAAATTTGTCTAAATCCTCTGTAAGGTATTCTTGTGTTTCTTTCTGACGAATTGTGTTTACGATGTTATGAAAAGAGACGGGTGTGTAGTTTCTTATGGTTGTTAGGTGATATTAAAATTAAAAAAAATATATATATATTTTGCTGCCGTTTATAAGATAAAAAAATCGCTATAATTGTATCTTAATTTATAAATATAAATTAAGTAAAAAAAAAAAAAATTGTATTTTTAGTTTAATATAGATAATTTTGATCTGCATTCCTTAAATTTTTGCTAGACTTTTGAATTAACAGTTTTTGTATAGTGGTATGTTACTGTTAAACTAATATAATGTTAGACTAATTATTTTAGCTTACGCATAGTAAATTTATTTAATTAAACAACGACTCCGAGTGCGGTTAGACACTAAGTAAACTTTAAAGCCATAATTAAAAATTTAAATTATAAATTTAAGATAATTCGTAATATTGTAAATTTCTACATGTACCTGTGGTTGTTGATATTCGATAGTTTCAAATGTATAGTAAAATTTACACATTCAAAACATTCCAATTTCTTGTATTTTTGAATAAAATTTTAAAATTTATCTGGTTTTTTATTTTTAAATTCATAAATATTTCATTATTGTAAATGTTCTACGTTAATTTCACGAACAATATTTGGAATTGGAAGTATACTATGGTATACTTGTATATGTCCAAAAATCTAAAGCTCCTATGCGGTACACATTACATTACTGCATCAGCCATGTCAGAGACGCACGACGGACCAAATTAGCGTCTTAGTGCGGATATTGATTACATACTATTACTAGTATTACGAGAATAAAGTCTAAAGTAACGTTAATACAATTGAGACTTGTGATGTGTGATATTGTGTATTATATATATAGTTTGGAGAAATTCAGTCGAAGTAAATAGGGTGTTTAAGGCTCAAAAGAAATGTATTAAAGATATAAAATCTTTATTTAAGAAGTTCAAAATTTTATCTCTTCCCTGTATTTATATTTTAAAAATATCCTTATTCGTGCACAGAAATATACATATTTTTACGTCGAATGTAGAAGTCGAAGTAAGAAGTAGACATGGGGAGAAATTGGCTGTGCCTTAAATCAATCTGGGACTGATAAGGAACAACACCTTTTGTATGGCAATTAAGGTTTACAATAAATTACCAAAAGAATTAAAAGATCTTCCGACTAGAATCTTTAAAAAGCGACTTGGTGTATTACTTTTGGAAAAAATGTGCAATAAATGATTATTTGCGTGAGACACTGTAGTTAATATAAATTTAATAACTTATGATATGATATGTACAATACAAATAATATAAGAATTGACCAATTCATTTGTCTAATAATGTAAAATGTTAAATTCCTTTTGAAGAGAATTTGCGCGCCATTGTGTGTGGCAGATATGCGACCTTACGATTGTTACACATTTTTGTACAATATTCTTGCAATAAATAAATTATTATTATTATGAATGTTAAATAAATTACAGGATACACAATGGAAGCTAGTTTAACACACATACATTCATAAAAAGTTCCTTAGGTTTTTGTTCGCTCAAAATTTTAATCATTTTTCAAAATGTTCGATTTATTACTTAACGAATTCGCAAAGTAATAATGGCACAATTGCTTACTGTCATGGTCATAATTATTCCATAAATATTGCCTGACTTTGATTACGCTTATAAAGATAGTAAATATCCTCGAAAATAATTTAAATTAAGGTCAGAGCAAAAGCTATTAAAAGAAAAACGAGGGCTGGCAAGCAACCAAACCCGTCGGGCGAGCGATCACCGTTACCTTAATTTGGCAATCTTTTCCTGCATTATGCATTTTCAATCCAAATTCATATTTTACATTAACTCAATTAGTTGATTGCTACTTTACATAAGACTAATAAGAAAATGTTTTGTAACTAAAAGCTTTTCCTAATTACGCACCGTTAGCAACATAGTTTTCTATCTGTTAATAAAACGAAAGAATTCGATCTCGAAGAAGAAGAAAAAACATTTTTACTATTTGCATATAATATTATGAGTATAAATTACTAATAATTACTATAACATATATGGCTAATTCTAATATAGTTTAAAATTGTGTATGTTATAAAGCGATATATATATATATATATATATATATATATATAAATTGCAGCGTAACACACTACACATATTACGTCTGCTGTCACTTATAGAAAAATTATAAATGTAATTTATGCGTTTACCTACAAAATATTTTTTAACATTTCTCAATAAGCAAATCTTCGCTATTATCACGAATATATTGTCAAAGTAGTGGTATTCAAGTCCGCTAAGAAATGTTATCTTGGATAATTTCACGTAGATGCTGACGTGGTCAGATGTGTTATTGTCGCCCTCCGCCCGGATAGCCCGAGACATATGTCTGTTTCACTTGATAAATTGGCTTGAAAAATAAAAAACTGCACTTTGTACCTTTCCAAGTCGATGTGATGCGTTGGAAGTGAAAAGGTAAGGTCAGCAATGCAGTTACATTGTTATCGTCACACGTACACTTTAGTTTTAAAATGTCTTGGCATTTAATGCAACTAAAAGTTTTAAAAGCTTTAGACAAATTTCGTCTTTGAGGGTATGGACGTGTTGAAATGTTTTAAAAAGCGCGACCTTTGTCTGGATAGTCTTATGTGACGTTATATAATTATACAATGTAAGTGTTATGTAGAAATAATAATTATGTCAAATGTAAGAGACTGCCGACAGGGAATCCTAGCGTGGGGGCTAGAGCACTTCCTTTTTGCTAGACATCCTTTTTATTATGTATCATAATGTTTTTTTTTCTTTCTTTCTTTCATTTATAATTCTATTTACATAAAACTATGGAAAAAGTTACCCAGAGGTATATGTTGGTTTAAAATAAAAATCAGTGGCGCTACAACCTCTTTAGGTCTTTTCATGATCATTTTTAAATCTAAAAGGCAAGAAGGTGATCAGCCTCCAGTGCACACACGCCGTTGACTTTTTGGGTCTAAGACACATGTCTTGTCAAACCCACATGGGTTTCCTCACGATGTTTTCCTTCACCGTTCGAGCAAATGTTAAATGCACACATAGAAAGAATGTCCGTTGGTGCACAGCTGGGGATCGAACCTCAGGTATGAGAGTCGCACGCTGAAGCCACTAGGCCAACACTGCTCTATATGATGGTTTAATGCAAAGAAATCTCGGAGAGGTAAACAATTTCACGGCAAGTAGTTCAATTTAATTGGGATTGTCTTTTTTTCTGGTCCAACCGTCGTCAAGTGGCCACGTGACAGCGAACAAATGATGCATTCGGAATCTCTGCGTTGGGGTTTTAGCATTCCTAAATAGCACTCGAACCTGATTCACTATTGACATGTCAAGTGAGGCGAGGATAGTGAGTGATAGAGGTACGAGGAGGCGATCGTGTTGTAGATGTCAACGCTGTTCGATCCATGTACGTTTGTGTGGGTGGAGACGTGTACACGGTATTACATGGCTTTGCTGAAGATCCCTCAGAATATCTATGCCTATGTGCGATATCAAATGAACGCAATATACATTATGCAATATCGGACGCTTATCATACACCGTGCATATCTTAGGTACAACAACGATTAATAACCATTGTTAGTAATTTAAAAAAACATAAGATATTCTTAAGTGAAATCAATTGAAATTTTTTACGATAAAAAGTAAACCAATCAAGAAGTCATAATTAAACACTGTGGGCTGTCTTTGTCATGAATCACAAAAAAATCTCGATAATTCCCAAGTTGATCTTGCGATTTCAACTTTACGCGTCTAAGAACTTTTAAATTGAATTAAGAGTCATTGATCTGATATTGTTTAAGAGTTTCAACTTCGGATTAAACTCGTGAAATAACTGCTTATTTAAATACCCTATTTACAACCAAAGACGCAGACTTGCAGACAAATGAACTTGTGCTAATTAGTCGCTCTTAACTTAATAACTTTGCTAATTTAAATCAGCAAAGAATACTGCAAATAAAGTCTTATTCTAAAAGATGTACTCTTCCTTCGAGTCCCCGCGCCAATAAATGTAGGTGGGTATTTAGGAGACTATTTAC